TGTACACACGACAGGTATAAATGCGCATATCGACGAGGAGTACGTACGTGGAGAGGGAAAGGAAAGAGGGGATCGTACTTTCGAAACAAGGCCACTATAGCTGACCAGCCGACAGCGATACGCAAAGTCCAGGGATGTGCGAATATATTCGCGTGAATTTATGCACGAGCGTGAAACGCGTGTCGTATGCGTTTACGTGTCCTGAAAAATGTGTCGCTTTTTGATGCGCGAAATCTCGCGATGCAATCAAATATACACAAATATGCACAAATAAAAATCTGTGCAAAAAAATAGCAGATAAGAGAGAAAAGAAAAGAGAAGAAAAAAAATGCTCTTTTAAAATTTGCAAAAGAAGATGACAGTGAAATTAAGTTCTTGTCTGTTTTAGACATTCTGCATAAATAAATGATAATTTTTCGGATAAATATTTAATGATAGAAAAATGTTGTATATTCGGTGAAAGATTACATACAAGATTTACTCGACTTCAATTTCTTTCCAAAAGATTTCCTGAAGATTTTAAATTCCACGTAATTACAAAATTATCGTTGACAGTTAAAGAGGAAACGTCCATTTGAATCACCGCTCTCTCAGACTCGTACGTTTTAACCGTGAGTCATCGAGAGTAATAAAATTTTATTTCAGCGAGATAGAAAGAAATAATAACATAAACATATCATAAATAAACTTTTTTTATACTTCTTCTATTGGTATAATCACATAACTGTTAAAAACAATCTGTAAATAAAAATTTATTCCGATGACGTTACATGCATGTTTCATCCTTTTAATATTTCATATGCATGTAGAATGTTTTACATTTTTAATTTTATAAAACGTGCATAATTTTACAAATATATTCTCATTAAATACCTCGATTAGCGACGTGTAATAATGCACATAGAGAACGTTTTCCGATTAGATTACTGACTAAAGAGACTGAATTTATCAAATCAAGATAAACGATAAAGTGAAATTTCACTGGAATAGGAGAGTCAATATCACAATCGAGTAGTACATGCGACATTTAAACAACAATCATTAAAAAAAATTAAACAAGTAAAGAAACATTCTATTCGAATCTTGCATTATATTCAAATGATTTTGTTCATGCGTGTAAATAATTAAAAAAATATAATAATATAATAATAAATGTGTAACTAATTTAAAATAATAATAAAAAATCTGTAAAATATCTGACAAAAAGTTCAATTAATTTATCTCGTTATCCAGAAAAATTCATTCACGTTATTCTAAGATACAAATTCTCTTTCGATTCAATATATATACAAGACAGCAGAATCCATCAGGTCTTCTCGGTATTTATCGTTTCGCTTCTTCGTACATGGCAAGCTCTCGCGCAGTTATAAACGACGGTTCCGTTCGCGAGAGCAATTTCGGTTACCGAGAAGCGAGCGGAATCAAACGCTAAGGGAAACAAACCCCCCTCTATCGCTGGGTTATACAAAGCCAATTTCGCGTAAATCGCGAGCGCGTGGCACGGCCCTGATCGAGTGTGACTAAGCCGGGGCCGCCTACGTGCGTGATGCGATGTGTCGGTTAGAGAGCGAAAGAGAGAGAGAGAGAGAGAGAGACGCGCACGCTTTCCTCCCCCTCGCGCGTCTTCCATCCCTCGCCCGCTCGCTTCTCATCGCGCGTTTCTCAGTCGCAAAGATAGAGACTCGCCGATTCTCGCGCTCTATCGGAGCTGTCACGGAAAAGTACCGGTCACACGTCTACTCGGTGGCACGTCTATCTCCTCTTTCAGTCCCTCTCTATCTTTATCTAGCCTCCTTTCCCTCCATTCACCCCGTGAGCCGTAGGCGAGGCTCGGTGACTCGTACATACGTATACATACCGGCTTGTGACGTGGAGGGATGGGAGCGGGGGAAGGCGCGTAATCCGCACGCGGGATTGCGTGTCACCACCGAACAGCCGTGACCGAATGATGATTCTTCCCGCTCTCGCGTGCGGCCCGCAGGTCGGCCGTTGTTGATGCACGAGCCATTCTCTCGCATTCCTCTCGCACGGACCTCCTAACCCTCGCAGAGAGATGTGCCGATACAATATCGAAGCTCGGCGTGTTGATATACATGCGGAGGTTGCGTGCATATTTTAGCTCCGCGGCTAAAAATAGCACCGACGCGGACGACGATGACGTTTTGTATTCCTACAAAACACACGCGAGGAGAAAAAATGGTTATCATATATATATATATAACGGTAGCCTTCGATCGTGAATTATTATCGCGGTCTTGAATATTCATGACGCAATAGCGAATTTTAAATCCGTCTCGTTTATATAAAGCATTTATACGTCATCTTTATATATTTTGTATTATTTTGTATTATTTCACTTGTTGATATCGAAGGAGACAACATTCTGTTTGTGCAAATATTAACGATTAATATTGGGATATCTCTATTTGTTCTATTCGTGTCCACGTTGATTACATTAATCTCTTAGAATTATACGTTATTTTTAGCATGATTTTTATTCAGCACACATTTCAGGGTTAACGCGGACGCCTCGAAAATATCCAAATCAGGCGTTAAAAAAATGTTAAGATATCTGCTCGTAACAACAATCTTCGTATTCGATAGGAAAAAAAAACGTCGATATCGGGCAATCACGCGATTAAATGTTAAACATAGAATTCAAGTACGAGAATCATATCACGCTTCAAAGTTCGATTAATCTCGATTTATCGGTTTAAAACGTATCACGAGGACTCGCGTGTACGATTCTGCGGCAGCGAGATGTAGCGGCTGCAATTTCGTAAGTTTGGCGTAGTGGGAAAGTATTTGGAGCATTGACGAATAACGCACGTGAGCGGGAAATGTTAAAATCCGAGGACGAGGCCGGCCGCGTCGGCGATTTTGCACAAAGGGCGTCGCGCCAAATTGAAACAAATATAATTGAAACGAGCATGTATCCCGCTCGGTCGTGACGAATTGCGATTAGAGGAAAATAACGAGTGCAGCGAGACGTATAAACGAATCGTGTGCGCGATGAGGAATAATGGCTCTAAAGAAAGAGAGAAAAAGAGATGATTGTCGAGCTTGTTAAACGCGTTTATCGCGCGATTTTCTCGGAATCGTTTCGCTTCATTCTTTGAGTTACCTCGATACTTTTTTTTTTTTTTAATTAAAAAGAACGTTAGTCTTTCGACGAGTATTATGAAAAATCCGATAAAAGGCAGGGAAATGAGGAAATTCTCTTATTAATCGAGGTCGTTGAATTATCTTGCGTTCCTGTAGGTTTCGGTCGAGAATGAAAGAAGGGCAAGAGTCACGAAAATGTGCAAAGAGCCTGCACGCCAACAGAGATTGCATATCGTACATGTTATATATACAATAGTGTCTGAAAAGAGTAATCGATCCGCGGGATACATAAAACATCGGATAAACGATCGACGCGTGTCGAAGGCCAATAACGATACAACGCAATACGATAAAATGTGGCCGTGTCGTGATGACATGTGTCATCATCGTCGCAGTCTTTGCGCGTATATATACATTTACGCGACCTACATGTTAATTGTCTCGGTTGTCTCTTAAGTGGCCTGCCAAGTAAACATTATCAAAATGCATTGCCTTACACAATCTGCGATCTTCGCGAATACGATTAACTTCCTGGTACATATGACGATATATAAGCAATATAATTAAGAAGACGGAATTGACAGACTTGACATAATAACGCGATTCGCACGAAATATATTATTTTATTTATATATTTTATATAAAACATTTATATTTATATGTTTTAATAAAATATTTATTTATATATTTTATATAAATAAAATATATATTTTTATTTATATAGAAATGGATAAAATACGATGAAATATTTTGTTAGTTTTATATTTTATATCATTCTAGTAACTCCCAAAAAGGATTAATAATTTTTTAAACATTCATTGCAATTGTTAAATTAAAGTTTGGTTAAAAAATTAATTTAAAAATGATATTATTTAAATTGCAAGCTAACTTTTGAACCTCTAATTTGCAGTGCAATTGGGAAATGTATATTATTAATTTCGTAATAATTGGGGAATATATTTTAACTTGTCAAATATATCATTCCATTTGTTTCAAGTTCGAGTTGGATCTGTGTAGATTTCACGGAAATTTGATTCAAGGTCTGTGCAGTTGGAGAAATAACATGGTTCGCTGTTATTGACGTAATCTGACGCACGGATAACGATTCACTTATATTCTTGCTTCTCTCTTTCCCCGTAATCGTCTCGTTACCATTTATCGGCGTCGCGTCCAAGAGAAAAACGACATTTATTTCTGCTCACCAATGAAGGCATTGTGCTATAAAGATGGATTATTATTATAGGGGGAGAGCCCCTCCCCCTCTTCCCCTCGACATTCCAAGAAGATTACACATGGCAAAGAGATGGAAATGAGCAAGGACAATCTAAACTCTTGATAAATGGCATTAGCTTGTCACATCATGTATCGATCGCACGCTCTCCTCTCGGAACAGCTTCTAACATCGCGTGTCATCCGTTTTTTCCATCGGAAATCTCGTGTTTTGATAAGTGCAACACTAACAAAGTAAACGGCATTGAATGATGGCTACAAGAATATATATAAAGTCATTAAGCCGCAATATTGCGATGTTCCAGGTGCAATATTCTCTTTCCTACACGTTAAAAATAATCATTTAAAAATGCAAACTTCAAAAAAAAAACCGCCGCCAGTAATTCTGCATTTTTTGAAAGATAAATAAAATGAAAGACAAACGTAACAATTTTTAAAGAAGGTGGAAAAACACGAATAAAATGAAATATAAAACAATAGAAAGCGAAAAGTAAAACTATTATTTGTACATTTCACGTCTTAATATCCTTAATTTCTTTTATCTTTCATATCTGCGCCGAAAAGTTCCCAGAATTCGATACTTTCTGTTTCTCTCGCTTATATTTACGACACGCTCGAATAAAAAAAAAAACACGCATTTAATATATATATATATTTTCATACAGGGGCATATGTTGGACCGTCCATACCGTTGGCACCTGCCAATGTCGCGGCTAATGGTGGAGGATCGCCTCTTCGTCCAAGAACGAGTCCTCCACCACCGCCACCGCCGACGCAGGAAAGTGCCAACGATAATTCACAATCGAATCATCATCAGGTAGGTAGACGAAGACGACGATTCAATTATCATTTTGCAATTAGTAGAGCCTGGCCGATCCATTCACAGGTGACGAGCCATATTTATTCGCGCATTTAATAAACGTTTCTAAGCTCGTCTTTCGAACGCGAGTCTCATTACAAACTAATGATGATCTTCCTTTTTTAGACTTCGGCGAACGGACCGTCACCGATGGCCGCTTTAATGTCAGTCGCTGATAATCTGACATCACCGGAGCCTGTGCCACAGCCACCGAACAATCCCAGTCCCACCAACAGAAGTCCGCCGACGACAGCCGCAACTGCTCAACAACAACGCAGCGCTTCTAGGGGCTCTCAGCACAGCCCGAATAGTACAGACAGTTATGGTAATCTATTATAATATATTATATTTTATATTTTAGCTTTTTGTATCCATTAGCTTGATGTAAACAATATTATCCGCGTCTTTGTACCCACGTTTTATTATTAGATACAATGTTGACAATTGTATCATAAGATTCAGAAAAATCGTATCGAATTTGATAATATTAAAATCAAGCTTTTCATGAAAAGTTAGAATATAACGAGGAATGAGAATCGCGTTAATCTACAGGCTCCACAGGCAGACGGTCCAGTAGTTCAAGGCAGGTGTCCTCGACAACTGTGACGACATCTTCCGAGGGCGCGGTTGCTCAAGCTGCCGGCGCTGAACCGGTCTCGGCACCGACTCTGAAATGCACGCTATGTCAGGAACGTCTGGAGGACACGCATTTTGTTCAATGTCCCAGTGTGCCGCACCACAAGTTTTGCTTCCCGTGCAGTCGGGACAGCATAAAGAGACAGGGTGCTGGCTCGGAGGTGAGTGATTCGAATTGCCGCTCCCTTGGGAGGCTCTTTCCAATCGAAATCATGGTACTAATCGACGGTTTCCGTTCTCGATCGTTTCAGGTTTATTGTCCGAGTGGCGAGAAATGCCCGCTGGCGAACAGCCAAGTTCCGTGGGCCTTTATGCAGGGCGAGATAGCCACTATCTTGGGCGAGGATACCGCGAGCACCGGGCTCAAGGTTAAGAAGGAGAGGGAAACTTAAAGATCCTCTTTCAATGTCGATTCAGGGCTCAAATTTTCTGTCCCTCTGTATTCAGAGAGGCTATTATGGTTGGAACCATGAAGGGTTTCGCCAAACGCTTTTGGTAACGGTGATAAAGAGTCGTTGGCGATAATCGGAGGAAGCCAACGAACGACTCGAGCCAAAGACGTTGTCTGGTGCAGATTCTCAAGTTGTTAATGTCATCGATTAGAGATGGGAGGGAGGGGGGAGGGGGGGGAAGTGGACGATTCGGTTTTGTTTGAAGTCGGCTTAACGACACGTCTTGACTTGATATGATCGATACCGTACGGTATTTATCGATTGGTTTTGAGAAGAAGTCTTTGGCAAATTGTATGCTGGCAATCGATTGTTTTGCTGCACATGTAAATACGGATTTCGTAGAGAGCGGTTAATTAACGCGATGGGAGCAGCGTTTTATTTTTTCTCGAATTTTCAGAGGAGAGAAGCACACGTGGTTGAAATCGCGACGGTAGTAACGATGATGATGATGATAATGATGATGATGCTGATGATGATGATTTGTTGCCCGGTTTGGGTTTGTACTTATAGGCTCGATACGCCTTTCTTCATTGTCTCTTGTAATCGCGGACGTAATCGCTCGCGTTCTTTCACACAATACACGTACACTTACGTACAGACATATGTATGTACAAATACATACACACACACGCAGACAAAATACCCTCACACACATATACACACACACTTCGAGATAAAATCGTCGACTCGGTACTGCGTAACGCACGCGCGGTTCGTATTGTACTTTATTTTTTTCGCGCGTGTCCGTTTAAGATGGTCGTAATTTTAATTAATGACTAACGCGAGAGAGATAGCATCGCCCCCGCGGCGATCGCCGTCTTTTTTCTATTTTTCTTTTTTTGTTTGTATACTCTTTCTACCCTATACTTCGCTCGTTGTATTATATAATAAAAACACATTATGGCGGACATTCTCGGACCCAGCGCACGGGTTTTCTGTACATTGTGTATATGTGTACATACCTACATTATATTAATAAAGCGTATAACTAAAAAAAAATTTTTAACGATTTTTAAGTGTACAAAAGTCTATAATATTCGTTTTTGCGTTCTGTGTCTTCTTAAATTATTATTATCCTTCTCGTTCGCATCTCTTCTTTCACTCTTTCCTTTTCTTTGTTCCCGCGAACCAAGTTGTACGCTGACATTTCTCCGAAAGACTTTTTTTTTTTTTTTATGTGTGTAGAGACACGCGACGCGTTTTCCTTCTCTATTCTCGGTTTCTCGCTCGCGAGGGCACACGACGTTGCGTTTTATTCGCGTTCTTTGTAATCGCGCTCGTCCGGTCTTTCGAGGCGGGGAGGGAGGGAGGGAGGGAAAGGGGGAGAGAAAAAAAATAGGAAAGTCACGCGAAGACACGTGAGCATGTCGCGCTATCCAGTCACTCGTAAAAAAAAAAAAAAAAAATGCGAATTATATAATATAATGTTCGACTATGCAACGTCCACTTTCGCCTTTAGTTTATGCGCTAGACCTTTAGTCGAGGGCATTTTGTTTTTCATTTTCACCGATGAAAAAGGCACGCCCGTCAAAATAGGAACCACATACTCGCTATGTCTAAAAGATAAAAAAAGGTGAAAGGAGAAAAAGGCAGGCAGGCAGAGACACTCGCTAGACGCGCCCGAGCGGGATCTTTTTGCGCGCGACGATCGTACGATCCCCTCGCGGAAAGGGGGACCCGTTCCCGGGCACGCGGGCGTATATCCTTTTGTATATATTTGTACAAAAACAGATCGGCACACGGTGAAAGGAGAGCGGTTGTCGGAACTTGTCGCGGGGGAAAAATAGAAAAATAAAAAAGAGAGAACGTGTACACACATCACAGACATACCCACACATATACATGCACACACACACTGTCGCGCCTCGTGTTACGGGACGAATTCCACCGAGGGTTCGAGATACCGCTTTCTCGGCGATGGTACGCTCTCTCGATTTAGCGGCGACGAGTGGTGATATTTCGGGGTGACGTCTCGCACGGTTAGCGCGATATCCGCTTAAAGCGCGTCCAGACTTGTAACGTTATCGTTATATCACATTGTTATGTCACATGCCGTAGAGTTACCGATGACATTTATTTGTCGCGATTTGTTGCCGTAATACACACATCATTTAAACTGCGAGCGAAAAGAATAAAAAGAGTTATAGATACACATTTTATCCTTTTACGTGTTAAATTATATAAAAAATTCTCTCTTGTACGCGGTAACGTTACGAGTTTAACGACGCTTTTGGTTTGCGCGGGAAAATGACAATGTATGTCCGATAATAATACACTTATTACAATTGATACTCTCTGTCGAGTCCCAGCCGGAAGGACGATTTTTCCTTCGACTCGGTGGGACTCGCGAACAGAAATATGCATCTTACGACAGGAACATCTTTCTCCGCTGACACGTCTCTGTTTTTCTCGCACGTGCGGCCGCGTGAACTCCTTTTAACTCCTTTTAACTAAATCCGTAACAAACATTTATGTACCGTAAACGAGAGAGCGTCTCTCGCCGCGAGAGGCTTGGTTGGTCGTCGCATCTTGATCGTCCCTCTGCGTCAATTTTTTCCTAGAATAATTTTTCGAGCGAGAATCTTGTTGCATTATTATTTCGTGCTTGCTCGATCTTTTTCAGGATCTCGTCCTCGTAACGGCGTTTCGTTGTACGAATTTCTCAATTCAAATTTTTTTGCCGATTACGAAGAATTTTCGAGTTTGCTTGATGTGGTTCTCTTTGTCCTGTTTTCATTATTATTGTTATTTACTGTACTTGTATTGCTGATGTCGTCGATCAATCGGGAACGAATGAAATTGGAATGCACAAGAGCAACATCGCGCGAGATGGGATAACGAAAAGGCTGCGAATAACTTGTAATACTCGTTCGTTCACAAATTTGTCCGATTTCGTTGTCGACGACCAAGCCCAAGCCGCACTTCCGGTTTTCTTTGTCGATGAGGCGCCCAGTCCCCCGAGAGGGTCGAGAGCGAAAGAAACGAGGAAACTCTCACGTCTTTACCGTAATTTCGTTCCGTTTGTCTCTCTTTTCGTCTCCTTTTCTTTCTTTTTTTTTTTTTTTTTTTTTTTTAAATGACTCGTATAGCTACGCAGATACACAAAAAATCGAAGAGATATGACGAAACAATACGTCGAATAGCAATTGTAGTAGTGGATAATGAAAATTTTCTAGTATACCGTACCTCGAGGAACGTGTAACATTGTACTGTTTATCGTATGTATGCAACAAGCAAAAGCAAAATATATGTGTTGATGTGACAGAAGGATGAGTTTCTATTATTTCGTAATCACACGTCCCCAAGAATATCCTTACAATAAATATCCATCCACTTTGAAAACTTTTAACTAACAACATGACAAGATCATTTCAACCAATTTCCTTACATATATAAGTTTTTTTTAAAAATTCAATCTCTCATTTATTACAAAAATTTTCTATAATATTGGATAAATGCTAAAATATATAGATATAATTTGATTATCCTATTATGTACGCTATCTTAAGCCGAGATTATATATATTGCAAAAGTCTGATATCCAATATATATATATATATAAAATGTATAAATATCTAAAAAACGTGTAAAGCGACCTTAGACGCCAGTGTTTCGGGTCCTAGGGCGAGCCTTGCCGAACCGTGAAAATCAATGCCAATATTCAGCTGGGGTAGGTGGGCCGAAAGAGGAGCGGAAGAGGAGGCAGGAGAGGAACGAGAGGTGGAGACGAGGAACGCGACGTGGCGGAATATTGATCTGTGCACGTTCCAGACGGCTCCATCCGCGCTGTATAGCGGTGCGCGATGACTTCGCGCGCTTTAAAGCGGATGAGGCGTAAATTATTCACCGAGCTCGACTGCACGCGGCGAATATGGACCGACGAATAAAATCGATCCTCTGTGAATGAGATGGAATGCACAATTCTCGAATTATCATCTCCGAATTGGATTAATTAAACGGAATCGAGAGGGAATTCTCATTTATACATACGTGTGCGTTCTCCTTTCCTTTCTCTCGATTAATTTCTCTTCTTTCACGAAAAAAATTTCCTGTATTGTGTGTTTTTTTATTAATTTAATTATTTAAAAATTAATTAGCTATGAAAAGAGTTAAATTTGACAAGAAAACGTGATTTTTATCTTAAAGAATATGGAAAGTGAACAGAGATTCGCAACATATTATATTAAAAAACATATGTTTATCATTTTGATTTGCAAAAGAATATAGCTGTCGTTTCCCCCTCTTCGCGAAATAGAGAAGGTTTCTCGCGTCAGAACTATCTTTCGTCTTTAAGGGTCAACATTCTCGACCGTTACTGTGCATAAAGACCGTTATTGTGCGAAAGCTCGCCGAGTGATTCGTGTTGTAATCGAACGATAGCGCGTAAATGATTGCAACGTGATGACTAACACCTAATATGACTAATACCTAAAGCAGGTAACGGTAAGGTCGTATCTTTAAGATTCTTGTAGATAGATAAAATATATGGGCGCATAGATAAAATATATGGGGACCTTTCTATGTTATCTCATTCTTTCTCTCTCTTTCCCTTTCGAACGTCGTATTAATCGCCGTGACTTTGAAAATAAGATACGCTAGGAAATAAGGCACGTTCCGCTCTTTGAAACGCTGTGTAGTAAATTCCTTCGGATCACGTCCTGGAAATTGTTGTGTTTATATTATTGTGTTGACTCTCTTATTCAGAGACTTCTCTTATTCGGTCACGAACGAAAAATATTTACGAAAGCGTCGAAATCAAGATGAAAAGTAAATCTAGAAGAGTATGCATGACGAAAATGCAAGAGAAGAGATTACTTGCTTGTGAATAAAAAAATTAAAATTATAAAAAGAAAAATTATAAAAAAAAGATTTATACACGTATACACAGAAAAAAAGGACATTCTTGTTTTGAAAATATATTTAATTTTAACATGGAAATCTCGAAATGAGATTATCGCGTTAATTAAAGAAAAATATAATTGAGTAAATAATTGCTTACTTAAATGAAGCCATTTTATATAGTTTAATCGAGAAAAATATATTCTTATGATTTAAGATTTAATTTTCTTGAATGGAAAAGAAACAATGTTAGATAGAAAATAACATTTTTAAATCAAGGATTATAATTTTTTTAAAATAAAATTAAATAATTATATATTCTTGAGATGACAGTATTAAAATAAGACTATAATATTATTGAAATTTAAAATTAATAAATTCCTCCAAGAAGATTATAAATTGTTGCGTATATACGAAACAATGAATGTTAGTTTAAGTATATAAGTTTTGATTTGACACTTCTTTTTTTCTGCGTACACATTTTAATTTACGCGAAATGTAATTATCAAAAATATAAATATAAAATAAAAATATAAAATAATCTTATCTCTTTAAATGACATATGTAATCGCGATGACACAAGACATCTCTTGCGAGGATGTGAAGGGAAGGTTGGTCTTCGGTGCGGACAGGTTGACAAGCGGTCATCACGCGATTAAACGGTCCATCGTCTTTAAAGAACGTCGCGCATTACGTACCTTTGACGTACTGTTATTGATCACGCGCGGGGGAGCGCGTTAAAGCGGCCGAGCTCCTTGGGAGCGCGGAGGATGTCGCTGACGTCATTCGACATCCGATCGCATCCGTCGGCCTTTCGCTAAATTAGTGTCCCCTGGCAAGCGACCGCAGCTCGCCTTACGCCGTACGACATTTTCTTTGAAAAAATGCCACCGATTTTTCCTCGTGAACGCATCGTGCCCCGGGTCTGCGGAGGCGCGATGACGCATGGGGAACAGGCCGCGGGGAACGGTCATCCATGGATAACGCGCGTGTTTCACGCGCGAATTAATCGCGCAGCAAAAAGCGCCGGCGTATTATTCACAGGTCAAACGCTACGAACGGTATTGGGAAAGCACCCCATTCTGCCACCATGTATCTCTGTTTTTTTTTACGACAAATTCTTCGACCCCACCTCTCTTCCTCGTGGAAACGTGATTAACGCGGTCGGAAACAGCTGGCAGGGTAAATTGATTGACTCAACAACGCGACCAGGAAGTGGTCGCGAAAGGCTACAACCGGTGATTTGGGGTCTCCCCTTTAAGGATCGATACCATTGCCTATAGAAGAGACGCGCCAGTTGCAGCCGGCCGGGATCGCGGAAGGTTCGACGACGTAGCTGAACGTTGCGCGGGAGAGCGGCTTGATTTTCAGTCGGGAAAGAGTTGGAAAGGGAGAGGGTGGGCGACCACCCCCGCCTCAAAGAGAAAGAGAGAGAAAGGCTCCAAGCTTCATTATCGCCGGTCCTTGAACCCGTCTCTGCTCGAACTCGAACACAACGCCAACGTTCTCCCATTCTCTCTATCTAAGCTATAGCGTTTTCGAGAGATATCGATATCGCGGTATGAAACGAATGATTTTCATATTTACTTACTGCACATATTTCATTTATTTATTTTTACGTTACCTTTATGTATTGTTGATATTTATTTTATTTTTGTTGATATTTATTTTATTTTTGTTTCTAGATTTATGATAATCTGTCAATTTTATAAATGCAAATATTAAAAAACATGGTATAATTTTTCGTCGATATGATACTTGATTGTATGTTGATAAAGGAAATAAAGCGCTCGTATACATGTATATCATTGGAAACTTCAACGTTTAATATATTTGTTATGACGCTCCAAACGCTTTGCCGATTGCACGTGAGATGATCTGCGATCCTTTTAATGTAATCACATCGTTGTTTGTCTGTTATAATTGGGATTAAGAGCCACGTGCATGTCCAAGGACATGGCACGTCGAGCTTGCCAATTGATGCATATTTTAAAGCGTACGATGAACATTGTTAGATCGTTATGTATAGATATTTAGCTGTTAATTTTTTATCGTATGACTCACTGTGACCGATTACATTATTTTTTTATTTCTTTACTAACGCGACACGTGGAATCAATCATACCGATTACTTAGGCAATTCATTCTTTTTTTATTTTATACATATATATTTATTTACTTATTTATATACAATTTAATTATTTTATATACATATATATATATATATATATTTACTTATTTATATACAATTTAATTCTTTTTATATATAATCATTTATCGTAAAAATTAAGTCAACCTAGTTCTTTAGGTTTTTAAATGAAGATAATTATTAGAATAGAAAACGCCTGATACTTTTTTAAAATATTTAATTGATTGATGATTTCTTTCATACTTTAATAAAAGAATAATTTTTTATCGTTATTTACAATTATGATAACAAAAATATTAAGTCATAAAATATTCTTTTTTTTGCAGGGAAAATTCGAGTTCTTTAGAATCGTGCAAGGACGGAATCTGTTCTGCCACATTTTCAAGAGAGATGGCTTCTGTTCGCACATGTTATTGCAAACAAAAAGAGGATGTATCGCGCAAGAAAGATGACGATATCACAGATAGGAATCGATATCCTTCAACTGCCACGTCCAAAAGATTGGTAATCAAGAATAAAGCTTGTAGAAGTAATCGAGAATCTCCTAAAAGAGAAAAAAGCGACGAGAAAATGGTACTGGGCGATTTTCTTTTAATTTAACATTTAACTGCTTCAATATATATTCTTTACAGTAAACATTAAATATCGTTGTAGCCTAAAAATCGATCGGTGGAAGTGCAATCTAATCCTGTCTTGAGTCCAGAAACGTCGACTGCGCTCGAAAACGCCGAGAAGATTATTAACAATGCAAAGGTACAACTCATGGAAGTCTGTGCAATGTCAAGTCTCGATTCTGCGCGACAAAATCAAAATACGTGAGTAGAAAATTCGAATTTTTTGACACACTAATATTGCATAATATTCTATCTAGAAGTTTTACAAGTCTTTTTTTGCACATTCTCCTCATACATCATTTGTATTATATTTCATTTCTTAATTTATCATCATTTCTCCATCTCACATCATGAGCTTGTCGCTCAATTAATGTTATAGAAAAAGAATTTATTAAAAATGAAATATATACACGAATAGAAAAAGAGCTTTACATTATTTATTATCATACTGCACGTTTCTAGATACTTGGACCCGCCCTTAGACGACGAGGCGGAGGAAATGCTGTACATTCGTGAGCTGGTGGCCTCCAAGTTTTACGAGGCAAGCACCTTGAGATCGGAAGCGAACGACAGGACGAGCGCGCATCTGGAGGATCGATCTCCGCGAGTCACCGTTCGCAGGGTCGATTTGTCGGCGCCTAAATTTCGGATGTCGCGAGGAAGACGACGTGCCGATTGCCGGTCCCTGGAATACGGAAGCGACGATCGCTTGCAAGAACGTGCCTCGCCTGTCGGAACGCCCTCGAGAAACGACTCATCGTCGTCGAAGGACTCGAACAACGAGGTCGAGAACGAGGCAACAACGCGAGACGATCGTACTCACAATCTTCCGGGACGAATATCATCGGCAACTGAAGGCGAGCTCGTTCGTGCGCGAGAGAACACGTGCAAAATCCAAATAGGACCGTCGGTGCACATCGTCGACCGGGAACTGACGAGGCAGGACCTGGAAGACGTGCACATCTCGCCGGAAACGTCCTACTGCCACGCGAACACGGCCACTTACGTCCTGCGCCACTTTGACGTCGCTGAAAGTCCCGTCACGTCCGGGGACAACGAGCTTCGAAAAATACCGGAAGCACCGAGGAAGACGCTACGCGTGAGATTAGATACGTCGCAACATGAGGGACCGATTGTCGCGGAAGCTGCAACCGAAACAAGTGTTTGTGTAACTACGAAAGTTTCAGACATCAGAGATTCTGAACAAGATGACGAGCGAAACAAGTCTCTCACGTCTCGAGCTCAAAATTGTATCGATGGAGAAGAGAGAAAAGAAAGCAAAACGGAAATAGTTGAATGTTTGAAAAACACGACAAATCAAGAAGCAATTAAATCCGTCGTGATTGAAAATTCAAGAACTGATAATGCAATATTGCAAGAAAAGTCAAAAAATAAAGTCAAAATTACCTTCCACAATGATATAAATTACACGGAAAAAGGAAGAATATTCAATAAGGACAACGATGAGCAGATTCACCTACGAAATGAAGAAAACACTGTAGATGAAATACAGGAGGAGAATCCAAGCGATCGATCAAAGCTACCGCCTGATAATGACACTTTAAAGAAAATAGATTTTCCTCGCCGTGGAAATATCGTTCCGCAAACTTATCGAGCGATGAAAAGTTCGAGATCACATCAGACACAGATTGATGAACGTTTTACAAACACTTTTGACAGTCATAATGAACAAGGTAAGCTGTATGATGTCACTGGCAAGGATATACGTCATCAGTCTTTCATCTCGACCTGCATGGATGATTCTCAAATAAAGGACAATTTGGATGAGATTGATTTGTACCGACCGTGTCTAAACGATTTGGACACAATTTTGCTCTCTAACGAAAGAAAGATTGAACGTGTCGTTCGCACGGTCGAGAATTTCGCGGAATTTTTATCGAGGCTCGAATCCACGATACATGGGGATAAAGACAAGCAAACACTGCGATATATAAATCACGAAGAATTTCATCATAATTCGTCAGCTGATAAGGATCGCAAGCTCTTGTTGAACGAGCCGACTAGATTGACTTTCGAAACTGAACTGAAGAATACGGATTTGACCGTCTCGTGTGTACCGTCAAAGATGCATGAAACTAACGCGAACTCGCAGAGTACATCCACGGACACGATAGAGATAAAATCATCGAGTTTCACGAAGGAAAGCGGCTCTCCTAGCAAGTACTCGAAAAACTCCGTGGAATCTAGCGTGTTTCCTGTATCAGATTCGAGCGATGGCTCCGAGATATCTCGCGATAAAGTTCAACGACCCAGGACTGAAGGACATTTATCAGAATCGTCGATATATAAATCAGACGTCACGACATTCTCCAACATAGTTCCCGCGTTATCCAGTACGCGAAGAGAAACACAGATATCCGGGGAGAAGCACATTACTCGGGACAATCATGCAAATGCGAAGCGACATGTCACATCTCAATCACATGTCAATAGAGTGTCCAAGCGTGACATCGATCATTCCCAGAAGGAATATTTCGGCAACGTTTTCGCGCAGACTCTCCAAAAGGATACGTCCGAGGCCGCGGATCGGTTCATCGCTTACCTCCTGCAGGACGAAAAGCGGAGCATCGAGGGGAAGGTGGTAGATGCCTTGAAGGAGTCGACGATCGCGCCTGTCGCGGTGCAAAAGCTCCTGGATAATTTGCGCAACGTCGAATCGATTCGCAGGACGCGTGAGACGGAAACTTTGGACATTCTCAAGAATATTCTCATCAATATTCAAAGTCAGACTGATCCAGAAACGAAAGGAAGCGTTCATCTCGTGGCTCGTTCCGAATCTATTCAACATATTAAGAATAATAGCAAGAAAGACACATGTCAAACAGCAAACGTAGACGATGCAGAGATTAATGTTAGTAAAAATAATCAAACTTACAAAGAAATCAAAGATGTGGAGACCTTTCCTAGGAACGTCGCCGATTCCTCGATTCGAACAAATGCAATTGAAGAATCGATTCCGCAAACACAAGTGAAAGATGATGCAAACGATGATATCGGGCAAATTGCCAAGAAATCTTGCGACTTCAAAAAGTCCGATAAACTTTCTTCCGATTCTTCCGCGAAGAAAGAAGAAAAGAGAGAAGGCGCGGCTCCTCTTCGTTCCATGATCCTTCTCGAGTCTGCTCAAAATTCCAAAAATAATAGCAAGGGAAACTCGTACTCGGAAGCCGAGTCATTGAAGCAGATCTCCGATATTCGCAGCGATGATGACACACTTCCTCGCAAGAGTTCTCAAAATTCGTCCAGGAGAACCGTATCCGCAAAATTCAATGAGGGGTGTACGTTGGAAGCTGACAATCCTGCGACCGCAGCATCCGCAGAAAATAAAGAGGACGATGTGAATGACGAGAGACGTAGAGATGTGGAGGATAAGAATATTTCACAAGAAGCTGTAAAAGAAATTATAATAGAAACTCATGATAATATCACGTCGACGAATCAAAATGTATTACCTGCGAAAGTTTCGGAGATGAAGGACGAGGGAATTCATTTGGATGCAAACTCTTCGGAATCCATTGCTGAAATCTTGGAGAAAGAGGACGTTAGTTTTGTACATTCATCGACGAAGGGAGATATCGAATCTTGTTCGACCAAGAAAAACATCGGTTCGCAAGATTCTGTAGTCAAGGAAGAGGTCGGTCTTGTTGCCAATTCTTGTCCGGACAATTCTCTACAAGATCACGCCTCGTTATCGAGCGCGAAAAGTAGCAAATTATCACTAAAAGAAGTCGCGTCACATATTAAGCAAGGTATTATTGAAGATAATGATTTAGTAAAGGATACGAGAAACGACGAAACTCGTGGCAAATCGATGACGATCGACAATCATGGAGACGAAAATGAAGACCCGGAATTTCTGAAAAATACAAAAAATATTAATGAAGAGCAATTCGCTTCATTATCGAATGTAAAAAAATTATCCTTGAAACAGGTCGCGTCGCATATTGAGCAAAGTATTATTACTGGAGAGAATGATTTAGTAGAGGATACGAAAGACGACGAAACTCGTGGCAAATCGATGACGATTGACAATTGTAGAGAAGGAATCGAAGACTCGGGATTTCTGAAAAATACAAAAAGCAATAATGAGCAAATGATTGATGATGATTTACAAAAATGTAAAATAGATACCTTATCTGGCTCTAATTCCTGCGTCAGTAGCACATTACTGGATTACGATAACATGTGAATATAACAAGAATATTATTATTAATTAATTTGATATTAAGTTAATTCCTTGAAATTATTTAATCTTAATTAAGCGTATATTATTTTTAGATCCCCCCATGATGCGTTAGCAGTTGACAATCTTGGAAATGCAAAGGAAGTAAGTTAAAAATTATCTATATAAAATATAATGAAAGAGAGAGAAATGCAGAAAAAGAGCTTTCGCTATTTTTTCTCTTTCATTACATAATTAATTTACTAACGCAAGTAAAAATGTTATTATATATAACTGAATTAGTTTAATATTAAATTGACATAATGAGGGGACTTGCTGTAATTTTATATTACATAATTTCAATTTCTGTCGAGATAATAATAATTTATGCAAATCAGCGGATGTTACACGCATAATAAGTTGATTCTGTTTGCAATCCTAGATTGAAACCTCGTCAGAGACGTCTCATTCCGAGGGAGAACTGTATATGCCAAGTTCGTGTTCCTATTCTCTCGGGGAAGTGAGAGTTTTGAAGAAAAGTGAATTAATCTCGAGTAATTCGACAGATCGCGAGAGCAGTGCAACAATTTTCGTTACCAGAAGTATGCTAACTTCTTTAAACGACTCTCCGATGGTGAGTATGCGAGGAAGATGAGAAGAAGAAAGAAAAAAAATGTCGACGATATTTTAAATTATCATTTTTCTTGCAGTCTTTGCTAGGAAATTCCGGATGCATTTAAACACAGAAATTCGTCGACGCATCGCAATAGTTAGTTTATATCATAATGAAGGAAAATTTACGCTAATTTATGCTATTACGCTAATTTTTTTAATTACCTTCACGTGCCTTTTATAATGATACCAAAGAAATCGAGCATATCACATTTTCTTTCATTAAATCGTAATTAATAATTAATTATGTATTAATTAATAATAATTAATAGTAATTAATAATTAATTATCCATGATGCAATATATGTATATAAAATATATATCTTTGTCTTTTTATGAACACTGCATTTCTATTGTACACTTTTTTATGATACGAGTGTTAAGTTATTAAAAATTAATTTTTATATTAAAATTATTGTATTAAATATTTATATTAAATTAATATTTATATTAAAATTATTATATTAAATAATTATATTAATAATTATAAATTATATTTACAATTTATATTAAATTAATATTGATATTAAAATTAATTAATGTAAATAAAAACTTAGCAATTATTACTGTACAAGAATATATATATTCCTTACGAAAGAGCGTAATGTATTTTTGTCCATATCGCACATAAATGATACACAGTTTGCTCCCGCAGAGGTTTCCACAATAAAATTCCTTATCTTACGATTTTTAACGCGATTAATATTGAATCATCGTCAATTAATCATCGTCACGACTCTCGAACTCTAATCTCCCGTTCAAAGAACGAATCAGTTCCAAGTATTTGCCGGCGCCTATTTACTTTCCAATCACGCGCATAGCCGATAAAGAGTACACTTCCGGCGGCATGTTCAACGTGTGCGCTCTGCTAAGTAAACAATAGAATTAGTAACGTGCGAAACGACGGAGAAGACGAGGCTAATTGGAGATAATTCGGCAGCTCCGTGGAAGCCACCCGGTGGAGGCAGCCGCCTCCCGACAGTCGACCCTCGAAGGCGAATCGGAGGACGGGCGATCGACGGTTTCGCGCGAAACACGGCGTTTTTCGAACGCGGCGAAACCTAACCGCGTTCCACGCTGCGCGAATATGAGATCGATTCATCGCGGATCGTTTAAATAGTGCCACGAGGGAGGTGGAGAGATCGGCGATTTTCTTCGCATCGAACGAGTAAGCGCGAGTCGCGATCGGACCCGATCTGCCCGCGATTAAACGAAGACGGGGCAAAATGTGCGACAAGTATGTCATCGGTTACTGGGTGCCCGAGAAAAAACGTCAGAAATTCAATTGGAACGATTTCGAGGATGTATGCGAGTCCGAGGGGTTTCGACTGAGGATGGTAAGCGATCGGCACTTTCCCTTCTGACGTGTCGAATTTTATTCCGACGAAATCCGGAGGAATATGTTGCGTGTGACATAGGTTATGTCTGGGTGGTAATATTAGTTTCTATTGTGATCTGAAAATGTAGAGTAATTTGAGTTTTTGTTATAATTAGAGAAAATTTTAACATGCATTGTTTGCATTTTTAACATCCGCAACATTATATCTTTTGTTCTCTGAGATCCTAGACAGATCCTCACATGTCCAAAAGACATCTAAAAAACGACTTGAAGACGTCTTAAATCCTTTAAGACATCTTTTGGCCTTTTTGTGCTGTCTGGGATTGCAAAGAGCGGAGTATATTTTTTTCTTTTTGTAATATTCCAAAGATTGCATCATTTCTGCAAGCGAATCTTCAGGAGCCAAAAAGTATTTGTAGTATCGATAAATCTGTTCACCTTTGTTTCAGATCGATGTGAGTTTAAGCCTTGAAAAGCAGGGACCATTACATGTTTTTCTACACAAACTAACAGATACACAATCGCATGCGGAAAGTGGTGATAAAAATGTATGAAAATATTCATCATCATGTTTATATCATCTGATTCTATAATGTATTCTTTACAGGCTGAAGATATTGTTTCACGGCTGCAAGAGTATATTGCTAAACATCCAGATTTGATTGTGATCGACCCTCTGGACAATATTAGAAACTTACGCAATCGATATGAATCTTATGAATTTATACAAGAAGGCATTCAGTTTAAAGGTTAAAAAACTTATAATCTATTGCATAATATTGATTACAAAATAATTGAGCCATATATTTTTATCATTAATTTATTCTTTTTCAGATATATTTACTCCTAACTTTGTAGAAATCAAAAGCAACAATGTTCACGAAATAGCATCGACGTTGAAAAAGCGCGGTATTAAATATCCATTTGTTTGTAAGCCGCTCATTGCGTACGGTTCGAGTGACGCGCACAAGGTATGTATCCTGTGTCAGATAAAATGAGAGAAATATAATTTGAGAAACTTACTTAGTATCTAATTTTAGATGATGATCATCTTTAATGAAAAGGATTTGAAAGACTGTCAATTACCTTGTGTTGCTCAGAACTTTATCAATCATAACGCCATTTTATATAAATTATTCGTTGTGGGCGATCGTTTCCACGTAGTTGAGCGTCCTAGCTTCAAAAACTTTTACCAAGAAGACTGTAATTCGTTGAGTACAATATTTTTTGATTCGCACGATATATCGAAAAGTGGAAGTAGATCTAAGTGGTCTATATTGTCTGAAGATGACATTCCTTTAACTGTAAAGCCAAATTATCAAATATTCGAAAAGATTGTGAAAAATATTCAAGAAATATTCCGGCTTGTTCTAGTTGGAATAGATGTTGTAATCGAAAATGATACTGGAAAGTATGCGATAATAGATGTTAATGTGTTTCCTGGTTACGACGGTTACCCAAATTTTTTTGAGCATTTAATAGATAGCATTAAGAAATTGTTGATAGAACGAGGGTTTTGCAGACAAAACTCCAAAGGTTGTACATTGAAAAAGTGTCAAAGTGATGATCTAGATTCTGGTTTCGAAAGTGATGAAAAGAGAAAATCCACAAAATAAATATGTAATATGTAATAGATAATATACTAAGTTTAGGTGAAATTAAGCTGTTAGAATTAATTATATGGTAGCATCAATATTAGGACACATTATTTCGCATATGCGTTTACACATTTTTTTAAAGAAATTTTTAAAGATATGAAACATTCGTCTTTCTTAATTTTTCCCAATTTAATCCTATTAAATCTAGTAATTTTGATATTAAATTTTGTTACGATGAATCCCGTTTGGCACACTGCTTATTCGCGATATGGAGTATCGTGCGTTTATTCGCGAATTCGAATCTTGTATTTTATAATAAATTCCACAGTGTACAATATAATAATGCGACTCTCATGACTGCCAGGGAAGATATTTTGTACAATTTATGCGTCTACAATTTTGCATTTTCGCGACAATGTTATGTATGCCTGTGAACTGTTGAAGATATTAAATATACATAATTGAGAAAATGCGTGATACGAACGAATATAAGATTAATAAGAACAGTTGGAGTAATTGCGACAATACGGGAAGATATTTTCAATATTTTCGAATGATTAAATGTCAATAATAATAATTAGATGTCATTTTTTATGTTTTTACACAATAAATAGCAATTTCGTCATTGGAAAATATTGCAACATCATTTTCATTGTGTTTATCGCAATTATACCGATTGATTCTAAACATCCAAAACATGTAATAAATTCCGTGACTCTTGTAAAATATACATATATATTTTATTTGGTTATTGTATAATATAGAGTCTGATATTAATCAATTTACTTATTTATATGTATATATATTTTATATGAATAAATTGTACAGAAGTGGAAAGAAATTATGATAAATTTGCTGCAATCCAACGAAATAATCTTGCTGCAATCCAATGAAATAATCTTACTAAAATGATATGATATCTTGATCAAATAATGTGGGATAAGATATGTATATATATTTTTCTTTTTCTCTATCTATCTATTCAGCTGTCAATATAGCTATAATACGAATTTCCATAGTTTTCGCATCCTTTTCTTTTAGTCTTGAAAAATTGTAACAATTATTAAAAGAATATATTTCGACAAGAAATATATTAAACTAAAGGTATATAATTTAAAAGTATAATCTAAAGTATAATCTAAAGATATTGAAATTATCAAAATTTGCAGCAAAATTAGTTTGATTTATTTCTTGTCAAAGTACATTCTTTTGATAATTTTGTCGATTTCTCGAATACTGAAAGATGCTATTTCCAACTCTTGTTTTTCTTGTCATTTATGAATCAGCAGATTAAAAAAATTGAATACAGTACTTTTATCTGGAAAAAATATTCGCGCGCACGCATAGTCTAATAATTATTCTAATAAATAACGTATTTTCTCGAAATTACAACTGAAATTTACTTATCCCAATAGAAGAGAGATTAGAAATAGATAAGATTGATACTAATAAATTAAGAATATAAGTAATAAGAGATAATTTATTTCCGTTTTATTTCCATTTTTATCTGTATACAATAGCAACCAGTGTCATAACCATTATAAAGAGATATAAAGTATGTAATATGTTTTCAAAATTATATTTATAATTTTGAGGCATCGGATATTCGCTTTTTAAGTACAATTCAATGTATTTAAAATTTAAGTACATACATTTTCTGATAAACATAGTAAATTCTTAAATTTCCATGTAAAAAAGATTCTACAAATTAAAAAAATTAGTAGATGTGAGCAAAGTTTATAATCCTGATTTATAATATCATACAAATAAGAATAACGTATTACATACTATGCATCATTACTATGGTTTCATTTTTTTTAGGAATATAACCCTTTCACCATAAATCCACTATCCCATCTCTGGGGATGAGTGTGCGGGAGAGGGCTATCTTCCAAACGTAAAATCGGTACGTATCGCATAACTCTAAGGTATATATACATATATATATTTTTATATTTAAATGTGTATATATTCATATTAATAATAGTCGGGCAAATGTGTCGCAAATCTTTCGTACAAAATTATATATTAGAGATTTAAAAAGCAAAAATGTCAATTTAAATAGCATCTATCGTATACAGGAACAGAAAATATCGTCATGTATATTGCAAATAATTTGTGTTATCACGACGACAGGAACATTATTCCGTATTATAAAGAATAACATAACTTCTATAAATAAACAATTAATAAACAACACATCGGTTTGTCGTTTTAAGACGTGATTAGAATTAAACAGTAAATTTTTGTCTACATATAATGTTTTCCTATGTCTTAATTATATAATGAATAAAATCATAACTTGATGACAATTCTTGATGACAATCAATAATTGTATTCTTGATTTTAGTATCCTTAAAAAAACAACTTTGGTGTGCGCAAAACGCTTTAAGTAACTATTAATTGCATATGATCGATTTCCTTGGATATAGATACTTTAAAAATAAAACTTAGAATCATTTTCTTTAAATATAGAATAACAAAAATAAAATCGTTTTTCAAATACTCTCTAAAAATTGAAAGATTCTTCAATTTTTATCGCATTCGATTATAATAGGGCGCATATAAAAACACATGTGAGGTGAATAGTACTTGAACATTAAAAACGATTTTATTTTTGTTATTCTATATGTAAAGAAAATGATTTTAAGTTTTATTTTTAAAGTGTCTATATCCAAGGAAATCGATCATAACGCACATGTGAGGTGAATAGTGAGCGCTTTTCTTGGAATAAAAAATTGGAAGAAAAAAGAAGAAGACTTGGCTTCATGTTGCATATCGATGTACAAAAAACAAAATATTTCCAAGTTAAGTAAATGGAGTATTGTTCTATAATAAACGCTACAAATTTATTTTTAAACGATATTCTAAACGATAAAAACTTTGATCCTCACAAATAGATGAACCGAAATTACGCGCGGACATTATTGATTTTATCATATAAATATATTGGAAACTTCTTGCATAATATGCATAGATTTGCAGTGTAATGTATCACCAGGAAATATTTCGGTACTTAACAGTGAGGATCATTCGTATCCATTGTATATAACTCTGAATGTTTTCCCATTTTATCTATAGTATACATCTCATATTGTAGTATGTATATACATATATCATGTACTTAGTTGCCTTGAGACATGCGATATAAATTTATTGCGATATAAATTTACACTATCATAAATGTAGTGATAACGACCCTCAAGTTAAATTACCATTTATATCATGGTATGGATTCGCATTGAAGATATTTCGATGCGTTCCAAAGCACGATTCAACTCGAGTTATATCTATCTATTGCACTCATCGAAGAAAAAAGGTAGAACATGGTTACGAAAGTATAAACGAAATGAGAATTCGTTAATTAAAAATTAGAAGCGCTTGATATTAAAAGTTTTCGCACGATCGTATATGAATGTGCGCCAAATTAGACTAAGAATGACGAGGCAATTATGTCATCCTGATGTAATGACTAAATCAATGATATAATTCCGTTACATAAACTTGCATCTAAAGCCCGATGACAAATGGTTCAGTCAGAAAATGACAACTACTTATATTTGTGACGTCACATTGCGATCTAAATTTTCTTCAGGAATGTACTCAATAGTACTTTGAGCAACGATTAGAATTACCGCTTAAGGCAACTTTTGCGCACCCCGTGACTGCAATAACTGTACTTTTTTATTTTTTCTCTTCAATTTGTTTCAGCTCGATATTGGAGAAATAAGTAAAATGAATACAATAAAATGTGAAAATATATAAAAAAGTATTTAGGGATCTTTTCATATTAGAGAGCTTGAATATATTGTTTGGCAGGTACTGATATATTATAGGATTACGTTCCAAAACATAAGAGGAAAATTTTATTCGATTCGAATCAATCGGAAAGATTTAAAAGAATTTCGGAACTGCCGAATAAAATTTCGTCGGTTACTTATGTTTTGGAACGTAATTTGGAAAAAGATTCTTAGATATTGCGCGTCTTTTGTTTGCTCGAAGTATGACACAAGTATGCCTTTTCTTTTTTACTTTAAGCAAGTGATAATTTTACGAGAACTCTCTGCAAGTTTTTGTTAAAAATCTATATACATATATATTTTGTCACTCATAAATCTCATTACTTAAAATTTGTTACTTAAAATCATTTTAACACTATTATATATGTTATATAGATTTTAATAATGGAGAAATTGTATTTAATATTATTATTAAATTTGTCATTATGGATATCTCCATAAATATATATTTCTTTATCTGAAAATTCGATATTGTTTGGGTGCAGTCACGAGCGTTTGCGTTTGGCAGATTTGGTAAAACGTAAAGCTAGTTCGCGTTTTGCATCTCCTAGAATAAGCATCTAACAAGATCAATAATGAATTAAATGACTATTAAGCGAGAAAATGATTCTAAAACACAGCCCTAACATATATGACGTACTAAGAAATAGGACTTTCTAAAAAGACCTTTGGCTTCATTTTTCAAGAGCAAAATCAATTGCTAACATAGCGCGTATCCCGTAAACACGGATGTTTCCAAACTTAACAACAATACTAAAATTCACCGCCGTAATATGTACAGACATGGAACAATTCCGAGAATACGATATCTCCGGCGCGGCGCAGAGTTCGTGTAGAATTTTCGCCATTTCATACGACGAGACGAGATGAGTAGTCTGTGCTAGCATGAATTATTCTCCATATTATCCAACAAGGAATTCTTCTCTTCTTTTTTGGTATTATTGCTTCTTGGCACCTCGGTTCGTAATTTCGGTTCGAAACACGGCTGCAAAAGAGAACGAAATTGTTCTATTATCTATTTTATAACTGCCGGATTTTTTGTTTTGTAAAATTGACGAAATAATTGTTGCGCTTCTATCTGAAATTGAACGAATTTAAAAATATTCCAATGTTGAAATGCTTTTTTGCCAAGTTCGAATTGACAAATCATAAAAATAATTATAAAATATAAAACATATTTATTCTCAGAGCACTACAGATGTCTTTGTAGGAAGTCTTATTCTTAATAATCGTCTAGTTTGTTTTTCATTAACAAACATATGTATCGGGCCTTTGATTTATACGCAAAAACAAAAATGTAGTTGACATTATCGCATATAATAAGTCATCACGGATCTCATTTAATTGACTGCTAGAAGAAAATGTAATGAACACACAGATTAATCGATCAATTTTAATTTGATTGTTGACATTGCACACACAATTGCAATCTATGCGTGAACATATTAATAACGCTTACAAAACTGTCGAAGATAAGATGGCCTAACTTTGGCCCTCTTTTTATTCAGATAACAGAATGATTAATACTGTCTTTTCTCAGGAAATATAAATTGAGATATCTGTATGTAAATATAAATATATTACATACAGATATCTCTAAATTTTCTATCTTTCAATTCTGTAAGTATAGAATTGAATAAAATGATAGAGTAAAACTATAAAAATAATTTGATATTCTCTCTGATTATATGCAAGATGATGGCAGTCACATATTTACGATGTAAAAATACTTGCGATTGGCGCGAAAAAATGCATGAAACTGATAAAATTGATTAAAAAATGATTATATAAAATCAAATACAAAAACAACAGTGCAGTATACATGACGTAATATAAAATCTATCGCGCGTCTAATGAAAGATCTATGTTTAAAAGAATAATTTCTGGTGTTATTTATTTTTTAAATTAACTATACCTTTCACCTATAAAATATTGAAAGAAATTGTTTAAATAACTAAATAATTAAAAAATATTAATTACAAATAACACTAATGCAATACTCTGTAATCGAGAACAATCATTTAAAAAACGCTCTTTTAATGCCAACATTGCGACATAAATGCCAATATTGCGTTTCTTTTTTTCTTTAAAAATAAAATATTTATATATATAAATTAATTTTAATGTCTTCTACGAATACTAAAAGAAAAGATTCTATGAATACTAAAAGATTTACTAAATACTAAAAATATAAAAGATTTACTAAATACTAAAAATATAAAAGATCAAGTGAATAACTTCAAGTGAAAGCAATAATAATAAATATTTAATTATTTAAATTCGGAGTTAATACATGATTTAAATCATGCGATCGCATGTTTTGCAACTGGAGCAAAAAATTTTTTTTAGTAAATCATTGTATATATATATATATATATATATATATGTATATATATATATATATATATATTATAATCATATATATATATATATATATATATATTTTATAATCATATATATATATATTTATATATATATGATTATAAGAGTATGAGAGATGTGATTATGAAGAGATGGTTTTGTGTTCAAGGCAAAGTTCGAGCGTGATGTGTAAAAATGATGCGAGATTCGGACTTAAGTTTCTTTAGTGTCAGCGAAGTTGACATGATAATCTGTTATCGTCTTCGAATGGTGTTATTTAGATGACATTTCACTCACAGTTTCGCAGATATTCATATTGCAGCAATTTTCGATAGTAATTTCACACTGATTATCTGGTATTTCTGGTCGAGATGTAAGTGGCATCACGCCTTTGCTGACCACATAATGCCTCTTGATACGCGGTCGTCTTTGTAATTTATTCACATAATAACAAAGTCCGGCGATCACTATAAGAAGTATAGTAGTAAGGGCTGCAAATATCGGTAGCAAAGTGGTGCTTTGGAAATCGTCGTTAAGCGTAATTCTCTCGGCCGTTTGATTCGAGTCCATACACCTGTTTATACAAGATGACATTGATATTTGCACATATTACATATATATATATATATATATATATGTGTGTGTGTGTGTGTGTGTGTGTGTGTGTGTGTGTGTGTGTGTGTGTGTGTAAAAACAAAATTTTACGTTAAAAAACAAAATTTCGTACATTACAATCAATTGATAATTGTTAATTCCATGCGTGATATTTTCGATATTTAATAATATTTAATATAAAATTATCAAATTAAATACAAATAATTCGCGAAACAGAATATAAAAATTTTATACGCAATTATATCTTAAAAATAACAAGAAAATATTAAGAAATTTTTATTAAGAAATTATATTATTGTTCACAAAAATTGTGAGTACATGTATAATTTTAAAACAATAAATAAATAAATAAATATATATATATATATTTATTTATTTAAAATATCACGCATGGAATTAACAATTATCAATTGATTGTAATGTACGAAATTTTGTTTTTTAACGAAACATTCGTATACCTGCACATTATGTTAGATGATTCGTTGCGATTGCTCGCGCAATAGATTGCGCAGATCTCCGCGATGTTATTCGGCTCTTCGCATCGAGATCCTTTGGAATATTTACAGCTACAGAACGGCTTTCCATTTTGGACGGAGCACTTGCCATCAAATAGGCAATAATCGTCGCAAACATCCTTCTCGCATCGGGTGCCTCTAAACGTGTCTGTACATTCACACTCGGGACGTCCGCGATGATTTATGATGCATTTACCACGAAGGCAGTAATTGTAGCAAATCGAAATTTCACAAAAGCGTCCAGTGAATCTGCAAGGATTTTATGCACTTTTTCGAATTATTAGCAACAATACTACTGTGGAAATATCTAATTGTTTTAATCAATCTTAAAAGTATATGCTATAGGATTTCTACCTTTATTTTAATATAAAAGTCTATTGTAATATAAAAAGTACATCTTTAATTTATATATGATAACATATTTATTCTAATAACTTAATGCTATATTAAATGTAATAAATTAATAAATTGATAAAGAATTAGGCTCTTTATGAATTTAACAACACGATACACTAGAAAAGAACGATTAAGAGCCACCGCAGATGGTAGTGCGTAATTAAAAAAAAAAAAAAAAAAAAAAAAATTACGCACTACCATCCGCGGTGGCTCTTAATCGTTCTTTTCTAGTGTATCGTGTTGTTAAATATATTAAATCTACATGCTGTTATCACTTACCCTGGTTTGCAATGGCACGTGTTGTCTGTTTCATTCAAATGGCCGTTTAGGCAGTATTTGGAGCTCTCGGTGGTCAAATCCGATTCCTCCGTGCTGGTAGTTAAATTATTGAATGTCTCGTTTAACGGTTGTGGAAAATGTCTTGACAAATTCGCCCTTTTCTTCTCCATCATCGATGCAACAGTCACGCAATCGATCTTGCCGACGTTATCGCGCGTAACGATACCGTTGGGATCGGCATCAATCCATGAATCGAACGATTTAAATATAGTCGGAGAATCACCGGGTTTGATATTTTTAGGCATGGTCCAAATCGCCTTGTGCACCCAATCGGACCAGTATATTGACTCGCTGTCCACCGCCAAATAAGCCGGTTGCTGATGCTTGTTGTTGAACAACACTTCCCGCTCGCTGCCGTCCAAGTTACTGCGCTCGATTTTAAAACGAATTCCTTCAACGTCATTGATCCAATACAACTTCCGCTCCGCGTGGTCGATTGCCACCCCCCGAGGCTCGTATATCTCGCTCTGTCCCTTGAAGATGATTGTCCGATTGCTCCCGTCGAGATTAGAATACTCGATACTGGGATTTACTCTATTATTATTCGTCCAGTATATGCGCCTAAAAAAATCATCGGACTTGCGATTATTATCGATCTTTTATTTATTTTTTTTTCAAGATAATCTCGATGGTGAAACAATTTGAAGCAAAGCGCACAGCAAATATATGTTTCGAATATACATATATATGTATCTTAATAATTTATATATTAATTTAACTATTTTCAACATACACATGCGCGTGTGCACGCATTTTTGAAAATATCTAAAAAAATGTGCACTTTTGAAAAATTATTTCTAAACAAAATTTTTTCTATTGCAATTATTTTTTAGAAACATTTTTGTTTTTTATATATTTTTATGTATGATATATAAAACATTAAAACTTAGAGGAATATCTTCTTACATAAAAAATTGCATTCACAATGCAAAATAGTAAGTAATCGAAATGTTCGAATGATAACTCATCTTACGCTTCTTAGGCTCATTTTCAGCTGTGTTTTTATTTTTTTTAACTTCAGCATTCGCTGACAATGCACAGTGAATTTATTGGGAATTGCTACGAAAGCTATCTATATGATATCTTTTTATATGCACGTTGCTTCTTTTCGTTTCTTTTATTGCTTTATTTGTGATATGTTTATAAATTGACTTTCAAAAATCAGACATGAGATTCCAAATATGGCAAAATTAATAGAAAATCAATGACGTATATTATAGAAATGTTTTAATTATAATTTATGATTTTTATTCCCTGGTAGAAATTACCATAACACTTGTCAATGCCATGTAAGGTTGCCACGTTACAACCTTATTTTTAAAAACTGAAAAGATCCACATCAGAGTCATGCTCTACGCCTGGCGTAAGATTACTATGAAATTAAATGAGTGTAAATCTAAATTTGACTGAGCTTCTGATGTGGTCCATCTTGCGCCACATCAAGTGCTGCTGAGATTTACATTGTTACAAACTATTGAAATGAAAATCGTTTCAACTATTGATATGAAAATCAGTAGAGTTTAATAACCCACGCAGCATATTATACTAAGATAGGAAAAACATGTCTTTTTTAAAATTATTTTTTCGATGAAACGATATCTGTAAAAACATCTTTTCGCTTTGTTGAAAAAGATAAAAAAGACACAATAGTATGTAGCCACGTGTTTGTTTCTTCGCTTGCATTATCAGACTTAACAGAACTCGTATTAAATTTTTTATCATGAAATATACATAAAGGTAAATTATACACTTTACTAACACACACATACAAATCTAAAATATATTTTTTTCCTTTTACGAACAGTAGTATTAGAAAAAAACGTTACGGCACACAATCAGAGATTCACATACATGTGCTGCGCAGAATGCTCTGCGTTTTTAGTCATTTTTTTCGTTTCAATTTAACGATATCATTAAAAAATGTCTTTAACAAAATATGTTCAGTTTTAGCAATATTTTTAGACGACTTGGTGTTGTGTGAGAAGTTTTTCATCAATAGTCAAATAGTAGTTTTTGTACAGCAGTGTTACGCATATATATATAGTAATTCCATAACTGCATAATAATACCTTAATGGGGCCATGCTACTGCCATGTCAATACCACACAAAATCCATTTCAAAGTTGTGCAAAGTTGCCAATGGGCAAAACGTGACGATTCGCGGATGGCGTTTACAAGCGTGTCATGCTCCTTAAGTGGCAATATCCTAGCCAGTGTCATACAAGCGTCCGAAAATTTCTACCAGGGTTTTAATGCTTTTAATTTAGCATTTTTAGATTGTACAAATACAATGAGAAAAGAAATCTCCATAAAGTATAAATAATCATAAATTATGCACCTATTACACACGTCGAGAGCGATGCTGTTTGGACTGTTCGAAGTCAAATTGTGCACAATGACAGGATTACTCGGTTTGCCGTCTAACGGCACGTGCATCTTTGCAATGATGTCCTTTTCACTGTCGCTCCAGAATAAAGTGCGCGTCGAAAGGTCGAAAACCATCCCCATGATGTGCATTTTATCCTCTTCTATACAATTTATTTATACACAATTTATGTTACGTCGTAATAAATTTCATGATAAATGTTTATCTCGATTTCATTCTTCGCAAGAGATTTCCAAAGAAAAAAATATACATAAAATATTTTTATTGCAGTATATCTACAATTTGTATTTTCGCAATAATCGCAATTCGCATTTTAAAAAAAAGATTATGTTCTTTTCGACAACGAGGAAATATGTCCAAGGAATTGCGATATCTGCGTAAACAATTGTTGATAATAATGTGTGAAGAAAATGATGCGAAGAATTTTTTCGACCTATGACCTAATGTAAGTATGTCAGTGATTGTTCATCAATAAAACCGATTTATAATTGAATTATCTTTATGAAATCCGTTACAAGGGAGTTTTGTTTGTTTCTCATTCTACAAGATCATTGTTTATCAAGCAAAAGTCCTTCATTGACATTCATTTAGATATAAGAATCGCATTCTGAATGTCCGTATTTTTCTTTGATATAATTTTATGTATATTTTCTTCTATCTCTTATTTTTTCTGTTTTATCTGTATTCCAATGTTGAATCTTTTTTTGTAATTTATCGGTAAAGAGAGAAGATTAATCAATGTTTATAATTTCTAAAATATTTGCGAATCAATTTACACGTTATCTCTCTATACTTACTCTTGAGCAAGGGAGTAAAACTGAAATTCTTCTGCGTGAGATCGTTACTAAATATGGGGGACACGTTGTTTAATTTGTCGGACAAATACATCGTTCGAGTAGCATCGTCATATGTTACTCCGGCCAGGGCGACGGCTTCTGCGATGTTAGATTGACCCATGAGCGTACCGTTCCGCGCGAAAAAGTCGATTTCGCTGCCGATCACCACGGCCAAGTCTGCAAAAAGAAGAGAATGGTCAGAGAACCGTTAAAGAACAATTTAGAATCTGGTTTTAGTTGACCGTTTTAAATAACAAAAAATTAGTAATGCTATCTGAAAATATTTAGTGTAATGCGAAATATTCTGTGTTAATAAATAATTATACGATAATTAAATTTTTATAAATTAAAAAGAAAATAATTATAATTTTTTTAGTATTACATAGTTTTCAGCTTTCACGAATACGTGCTTCACGAATACAGAGGAAGATCGTATCCTAATCTCTAAAGTCGTTTCTTTATCGATTAGTTGGAAAACAATATAATTCGTTACAAAATCACATAGCTAGCAACACTCGAGATTATCAATGATATTTATCAAAAAGACATACTATCTTTAATTCTTGGCAATGAAATTTTTGCACCATCTCTAGAGAAGCTACGGTCGCACGTCGCGTCACTTGAGAATTTGTGATGTTTTCCGCGATATTTATATTTTGATCTATTTATTGTAAATCGATATATTCCATTATTTTCACAATTAAAATTATGTTTTAATATAATGTATTCTTTCAATCTTTATGATTAAATTTTTAGACAATTTAATAACACGGAATGAAATTTATATCTTACAGAAAAGAATTGATTTTTAATATATTTTCAGTTTTATTTAGTATTGCATACTGAATATGAGGATACATACTGTTTTTAACTAGAGTATGTTAATGTATTCGTAGACTAGAAACTTCTACAAATAGATTCCTAATGAAATAGAAAGAGATAAATTGAACTGAATAAAATATGCATAATCGATAGTAATGATTAGATAGTAACGATTAATGAGTAAGATAAACTATTTTGTTGTATTTATATAAGCGCGCTGTGCGATAAAGTATCTTAGCTGCAAATTTTTGCTTAGTCAAAATATATTTTCTGCGTTACGAAGCACATTTACGGTCTGCCGATCTTTAAGCTATAATCTAAGAAACACTATGATTGCGACGAGTCGACATACGCGCGAGCATCGCGGGAATTTCTGATGGAGGAAATATTTTAATTTGTGCCGCTTGTATACATCAGAATACAAGATTATCCCGTCAATATAATTCAATGCGATCAATTATCCAATTAGATATATTCATATTTTTTAACAGCAGCGTTATCTGATTCTTTTTTCTTTTGCCATGATTGCTCGCAAGCAGATACACAAAAAACTATCAGGATCATATTGCGATCAGTTATCGTGATACATTCTAGCAATCTATCACAGTGTTGAATAATTTATTTATCGAGTCACGGCTATGATAGAACGTGTATTTGAATAGCTGACGTCAAAACATGTTATGTGCAATATTGCATTTTATTAACATTAGGCAGATGCTATTTTTTCATGTTTCTTGAAATAAAAAAGGTATATTTTTTGCAATTTTTTGCAAAAAAATTTAATATATTTTAAGTTTATAAATAATGTCATGTATGAATTCGTTCTATGTGAGATTAATATACATATATACATATATATATATAATATTTAATTATATATATATATATATATATATATATATATATAATTAAAATTAAGTAATGATTAGACAGATATTTTTACGATGATTTGTTGTGCATTATGCGTAACGAACATGATAAAAATCGGTCAAACTTTAATGTAAATCAATTTGTTCAACATCTGTATTATTTATTCGATCAGATGAGAGTTGCAACAATGTATCTCCTTCCAGCGCAAAAATATCTTCTAGTATTCTTATCTGAATTATATCTTTATACATTATCTGAATTATATCTTTATATCACTTGTTCCGTTAAGTGGAATATGATAACGCATTGGAAATTGTGATAAAATATTATTAGTTAAACTTAGACATTATATAGTACATCTTTTTATGTTTACAACAAAATCGAAAAAAAATTTTGTCGCAAGATGATTTAAATATCGTCGTGATAAATAATCATCAGTCGATCTTTTTACAATTTCTACGATATAAAACTGTTTACACGACGCACACTTTAACTGAAAACGAAACTTTTTTGTGAGCAACATATTTACGTAAGAAAAAAAGAAACACTATCTTTTCCAACAAAATAAACGCAAGAAAGATGCGAAGACAAATTTGTGAAAATTGAGTTCGCGCTATCTTATTCACACGTTTTCACGCGATCGTGACACGCGATTTGTCACGATCGTTCACGTGATTCGCAGAATGTTTCGCCCCAAGTAAGTATCTTGAAAATATAAAAGAAACGGAAAAGCAAAAGTTATTTGGTTTAAAAGGGGATATAAAATGCTATTATTGATTTGACTTTGACTAATCATTTGATGGTCAAGTGAAAGTTATTTTCAATTTCATAAATGGAATCCCCCTCCCTTACTTTTCATATATATTCATTTTCATATATATTCATTTTCATATATATTCATTTTTCATATATATTCATTTTTCATATATATTCTTGTAATTTATTTCGAGAGATTTCCAAAACAATTAAATTATTTTTCATTAAGTACTTTCCGAATTATGAGGCTTAAAATAATTTTTTAATTGTATATAAACTATAAAATATTTCGTAAAAAATATTTGAATTAACAGTTACACATTTAAAAAAAAACAATTATGTGTTTTCTTTACAACCAATTGATTTCTCTTATCTTATATTTTGTACATAAAAATATTGAGATAAGATCAATGAGAAATCAGTATTTTACGAGATAAGTTACAAGAATATGTAATAAAAAATAAAGGGTTCCATTTAAGAAAGTAATCTTCACGTGAATGACATCAAATGATTATCTAAGGTCAAACCAATAATATTATCTTATGCCCCTCTTCGAACAATTTTGGTCTGAAAGTTTTTCATATCTATTTCAAAATATTTGCCTAGGTCGATTAAATTAAATATCATAAATAAAAGCTTGATCATTGCGATGCGAAGAATTTCAGTTCTTATTTCTTTTCAAAGTTCTTTTAAAGGTTTCGACAATCTTTTCATGTACTTTTACACATGTATAATTTTGTAATATTGATTTCTATTATAATATTATTCATGCATGCGGCACATTTAAAAATTGTATAGTGATTAAAGTACATATTTTGTGATGTAGATTTTTTTTTGGTGCTTCTATTTAAATCAGTCATACGTTTACGAGATGGTTATGTGTTATACTTCTAACTCTTTGCTGAATAATTCAAACTATCGCATAAATATAAATATTTATGCGATAGTTTGATGATTTCAATTTATAGTATTGATTTGCATCATGCAATTATAAATATTTGCATGTGTAATGTAAATCAATATTAAAAAATTTTAAGATTATCCAACATATTGCGCCGATAGAGAAACAGTTCTTTCCCCGATTATACATATATTATTATTCGTTATCGTGTTCTACATATCAAGCTTTGATCTTTGACTAATGGCTTTCCCAAAGCGTAGTAATTAACGTCAACATCTCGATTGCATATTGTGTATCGATTACATAATTAAGATGCGTGATAATCAAGACGGAAACCAACTACTGGCTGCGCATTTTAAGCGTCTCAATTGATTTCTTGATTATATACGCTCTCTTTCTCCATCTGTCTCTTTTTTCTCATGCGCTGTGTAAGGGAATTGACTCGAGATATCAACAGGAACTGATTCGAAGTGTCAATAGTCTCGTATTTTTTTCGTCACAAACGATAAGGTCATATAAGTTCGTTTATACGCACGCACCGCGGAAACGCGCGTATCGCAAGTTTTGTCACCGCGCGACCTTAGACGTGACCGCCACATAATAGCCTCTAGATGCAAATTTTTAAGATTTCCGGCATCGTGGAGGGACGTGCACGTTTCTCCGATGGATTTCTCGAATTTCGCGACCCGCCTGTTCTCGTTTCCCATTGAAGTATGCGTGTGCTACGTGTGTGCGATGCGTATGCGCGCGCGATCGTCACCCTTGACAGCTGACATTCGTTACATAAATTCAGGCGTGCGGGCGGTCGAGGGCGATAAATCTCGACGGACGGACATTCGGCGACGTTTGATGACGCCGTGAGACGCCGCTCGCCGTGACGTTTCATTCAGCTTTCGTACGTGATGAGATGCGCGCGAAAAAAAACTGCAAGCGCAAAGAGTGGCGTACGTGACGGGCAGCCGTCTCTGAATGGAGTCGGCGCTCGTGCACCAACACGCGACACATGGACAGGCACACGGACACGGACGGCCACCGGTGTGTCTATGTGTCGCGATGCCTGACCCCGTGCGCGACCCTCCGGCACAATCGGGCCGCTCACCGGCGGTCATTAAGAATGACCGAATTTAGCGAACGCTATTCCACACGTGTCTGTCATATATCTCTCTCATAAACTTACCCCAGGACCTGGCGTACGCCGTGACCACGAGGGTGCATAAGAGAATGCTTGGCAGGAGGTATCGCGTTTCAATGGTGATCATGACTGACATCATTTGACATCCGCGTGGGCAAATTAAAGCTGAAACGGGGAGAACGAGCAGGCGACACGGTGGGATAGATCAAGGGACGAATCTCTCTCTTTCTCTCTCTTTCCCACGGGCAGACACGCGCAGAGAACACGTCCTGTCACCGCGGCGGCCGTACGCGAACTGAGAGGTCTTGTAGTCTCGCGCGCTTCCGCGCCGCGCGCCACCTCCCGCCCCCTCCCTCTCCCGCCGCTCGTCACACCGCGCCGAAACGCTTAGTGGGCGATATTTAATCTCAAAGAGCAGAGTGTCATTTCGGATTTATTCAATCACACTTTCTCGTGTTTCTTTTTTAATTTTTTATTTAAAATAACCCGCGATTCTATTCTGATTACATAATTCGTGAAGCAAATCGATCGACTTGATTGAACTTACGTATGAACAGTATGGATTTATTTGAGATTTTTTTGTATTTGCGAGAAAATTTTTCAATAAATTGTGATCTTAATCTTTAAGCGAATTTACTCCAAAACATGTTAATTCTTTCTCTTTGCTTTTTTTAAATAGTTAATTGATTTTCATATAAATTGTCGATATAATTACTCGCAGATTGTAATTCGGTTTAATATTCGGAGCTAAATCTTGTGCTCTGAATTGAATAAACAGGACGGATCATTCTGTAAATTTCCGTAAGGTCAGTCAGTGACTTTCCCCAAGTCATATATTTTAATCATTAATTGACACGATTTATTAAATTGGATTAATGTCGTGTGTGATATGCATATAATAGCGTTATATTTATCGCGTTTAATAACCGAGTAATTGTGATAAAAGAAGTTTACTAAAATTAGAACAATCGTTTGATATATTTGATCGAAATTTCTTTTAATAAATTTGATTTCATCATTTACGTCTCATTATATTTACTTCTTAGCCAGTATTTTTCTTCTTCTTCACCAAATCGCAATGATTTTTAATTTTTATACTTGCTTAGAGAATAAAAATTTTAAATGAATTAGAATAGTACAAATCAGATTACATAACTGTATAATAGCAAAAAGAGAAATTTGCAAAGATGCAATCTTGTCTGAGAATTTTGCCTAATGGAATGTTGCATTATCTGCAATTTATTCGTAGTTTTAATTTCTGCCGAAACGAATCGTTTTATTTTATGAATTTTATGCATGATTCGGAGATGACTCTCAGTCATGACTCTCAAAAGATATCTTGAAATCAGAAATCGCTACGCCACTGTTCAATCGCGCGCCTTGACTTGCGACTCGTGGTTGGCACGCGCCAATTTTCCTCGCTTTAAGCCTCTATTTAAGCCGAGTCCTTACCGCGGTTCTTCCTATTTGGAAGCCTTAATGCGCGAGAGCTTCATTAGGGATTTTGCGCAATTTATCAGTGACACGATCGAATCGATAAATGATTACTCGTTTCTTTTCAAGACGTACTAATTGAAGCGAATTTTCGCTCTCTTTCAACTGGATTAAGGATTCGAAAGAACGAAATCTTTCGACTCGCAATTTTCAAACTCAAAAGAAGAAACTTGTTATTTTGAAAGACATAAAACATTCTTGTTTGCGCGTCTCGATAAATTCAAAATGAATCATAAAAGAATGAATCGTAAAATTAACTATACAAATTAATGCTAATATAAAAAGTATTCGCGAATTAAACGTGACGACAATAACGCGATTAGATGATAGATATAAAAGGCGACAAAATGTAGTAATTGTTCAACAATGCTCAAAAAATTTTTATTACAATACATAACAGACAGTTTACTGTAAGAGATGAATGCGATGAATTAATTATGAAGAGATACCTATCAAACGTATCGGATTTAATTGGTGCATCGGGATTTTCACACAGAGACAGGTGGATCGAGCTCGATGGACAGATCCGCCACTCGGGACCGCCTTTGCTTTTATACGAAATCCCTTTGGGCTGCGAGATTCATTGGCATGCTTTTCAAGAATTCGATCCACCAGCTCGAGTCGATTAATTGATGCGCGAGCGCAACAAATCGGTGAATGTTTGAACGCGGTTTGAAAACACGATACAAGAGAAAGGAATGTAAGATACAGCACCCAATTACAAAACAAATTTAAATTAAACGCGGATTAATAAATAATAAATACGAAAAAAAATGTCGCAAGCGACGACCTGGCAATAAAGCTGATATCGAATTTTGACATCACGATTCCGTATAAAAATAATGTAATGTTATATAATTTTTTTAGTGTTTTATTTTTTTAGAGTAGCTTTTTAAGATTGTTTAAAAAATGTGTAATTGTAAAATTTAACTTTTCAAGTTTTTTCTTTTAAATTTTTTTCAAACTTTCATATTAATATCAAAAGTCGAATTCTTTTAATGATTTTTTTTAATACATTGTAAAACTTATCACACAGTTTGAAATTGCTATGAGTTTTTATAGAGTACTTTGCTATTCACTGTAGATAAGGGAATATCTTGTGTACCTTATCAAAGTACGCTATATTATTAACACATGATAGGTGATATTTTTAAAAATCTATAATATTATACATATTACGAATGGTTTAAAGAAAAATTATTAATATGATTAAAAAAATTAATACTTCATCAATTAAAAATATTTATAAAATTAGAATAATAAAAAATTCTATTAGGACAAACATTGCAATTAAAATATTTAATTTACGCATAAAACTTAACAAAAGAACATTCTCTCTTTTATAACACTAAAATAAAACTGCAAATTTTTTCGGTTTATCTATTTTGTAGAAAAATGTTTTAGACACTTTGCTGGAAGTTTTAAAAAAATCATTAAAAATAATTTTAAGAGAGAAAAAAAAGCCGAATAAATGGATTAAATCTTCACAATCTTATGTATCGCGCGCACACAAAGTGTAAATAGTGTTTAATAGAGAGAAAGTCGAGAAAGCGAAAGTCTTTCGATGAAAAGAATGTTCGATTTAATAAAGGATTTCCAAGAAATGCATGTTTACATGATAAATATATTCCGGAAATAAAACCGTGCTCCGAATAATCTCGCACAACAAAGATATCTAAACAAGATAACAAGATATTAAAGGAGAAACAGCTGTTTTAAAACATTAACTCTATTGGACCAATAAAATTTTGCATGCCGATTACAAAAGTCTGTGGCACATTCGGAGACCCATATATTTACAAATTTTCCGCGCGTCCATTTTTTGCAAAAATTCAACTAAATCGCTCTTTTCTGCAAATTCAACTAAATATTTCCATAAAAAAGAAGGAAGTTCTCAAATCAAAATATTAATTTGTGGCTTAAGTTTCGAAATACTTTCTTGGAATGTACTCCAAATTAGCCAGGAACCATGACTACGATTTCTTCTTATTCATAGCTACATATTATCGAACGATAAGAAACAGACAAGTGACATCGGATTTTAATTAAGGATCCATTAAAACGAAAAATGCATCTCGAAGTCGGCGCAAAGGAGAGCAAACGTCGGAACATTTTCGCTCGGAAAAATACAAGCGAAATCGGTCGTGGAGAAGCGTGCGAGCCGGAGCGGCCCGGAGCAACAACGTCGAGTACTAGGCTGGCAGACAAGCAGGCCGCGGCGGCGGCGGCGGTGGCGGTATATTATTGATCAATAAGAGCATGGGCAACCCGTACCGATGGTGGCGGTGGCGGTGGCGGTGGAGGCAGCTGTCACTTCCTCCGCGTTTTTACGTCGCGCGCGCGGATACACGCGCTCGCCGCCGCGCGCGCGGAACCGTGTCCCCGGTGGCAGGCAGCGGCGCGCGGAGCGTCCTCGCGATCCTGCTCGTCCCGTCCTGGTGTTGGCCGCCAGATGCGTCGCGCTGCATGCGTGGGATAGGCGGTGCGTGTGTTCCGAGCATACCGAGTACGTCGACGCACCGCGTACGCGTGATATACGCGCCGCCAGTCTCGAGCGCTTACGCGTTCTCGGCTCACGGGAAATATACACAGCGCGGAGGGGTGCGACACCGGTTGGGGGAGACCGTGCGAGAGGAGGACGGAGAACGAGAGTGCGTGCGCGTGTGTGAGAGAGAGAGAGGGATCGAGTGAGGGAGCGCGCGGGGTGGAAAGAGAGAGAGAGAGAGAGAGAGAGAGGGAGAGAGACAGAGCGAGACCGATTGTCTACGACATGTGTCCGTGCTGAGGATCGTATCCCCGACTGTGCCGACCTACGAGGGTGCACCTCGAGGCAGGGAGACCGGCTCTACGAGAGAGAGGGGGAGGGTGAGAGACGCGGACGAGGAGAAAGATAGGGAAAAATTGTCGTTGTCCCCTGTGCCGTTCTTCGGGGTTTTGTCGTCGTCGTCTACGCGGGACCACCGATGCAGACCTTACGGAAAAAAAACAGTCCGTGCAAATGTGAGTAGAGCGATTCGCTCCGACTTCTATCGCGGCGAGGCTTCTACGTTAGAGGAATTCGCGATTTTCCCGAGGATTTTTCCCTCGGGATACAAATTTTGCAGCGTCTCCCGTTGTTTTCTCTCCCGACGACGAGTCGGGGGTTGACGGCGTTTCTGGTACCACCCTGTAGATACATTAGGGGTGGTTAGGGCCGCGTAATATGGCTTCCACGTTAGCGAAGGGAACGAGCCGCGTTGCGTCTCGCACGGGAGATTTCGCTACGCAATTCGACGCATTGACTGACGCATCTCGTGTGTGACGCACACGAAACGAAGGTCGCGAAAAATGAGCCTCTCATCAGCCTGGTAGGCTGGCGAATTCGCTCGCGCGAAAAGCGAAAGTCTCCCTCGTGAGAACATTATCGTTCGAGCAAGACCATCGGCTGCCCGCGTTTCCATAAGATGTCGACAGCTGTGTCGTGCGCGTGTTCGAGATTACTACTGAATTTTTACAGGACAGCACGAAAATGCATTTATCTCCTTACTCGATTAAATGTTAATTATTTTAACGAAGCTTCAAGAAGCGTTGTAAAGAAGAGATCTCGTAAAAAAAAAGTTACAGATAATTTTATACGCGATTTATAACAAGAGCATATTGTTCGTTTTTAGAGAGAAATATATGTCAATTTCATATTTTCATTAATATAATTAGAGACATTTTAGTAATTATGAATTGTGCAATATGAGAGTATTATTACATATGAGATATTGATTGTGTTTCCAATGAGAAATGAAAATGGAAATGTGGCACTAAATGAATTGCGAGAAAATGCAAGTCATTATTAATATGTATATTTTTATAAATCAACTTTCGGATCACGTCAGTGATAACAATTTATCATTCTGTATTTCCTCTGATTGCATAAACTGTTATTTTTGCAACATTTATGATGTTGCAGCAGTTTATGATTATTATTATATTTATCTTATAAAATATGTACATTCGGATGATTATTATTATGATATTTATCTTATCCGAATGATGATTATTATTATATTTATCTTATAAAATATATACATCTAGAAATAAATTAAATGCTGAATCAGATCCGATTTTTCGATCCGATTTTTTTTAAAGAAAATGTCAAAGGTGATTTTAGTTTATAGTGATAAATTTTTTCACGTGATGATACAAAGTTCCCCGTTACGTTTGAGTGCTCCATTATTGCGTATCTCATTGCACAATGTACTATACAGAATGTGCAAATTGCAGGCATATAGACTTTAGAAATTGACAGAATTTATAATTATTGAAGCAAACAAAAAGATAATAAAAATATGCAATTAAATAAGAAATTTAGAAATGTATATCAATCTTTGAAAAAAATTGAAAGAATCTCTTTGAAACGAATTTCTTTTTAACAACAATATGTGCGAGGAATTTATTGTCTCTTTGTAAAAATTCTTTCGCGACGATACAAAGATTCGAGTCTCGCTTCGTTTGATTGCTTTATTGTTGCGTGTTTCATACCGCAATAATAATTGTTGTGAAATAGAGGTGAGGGATATAAGTGCAATGCAGGACGCATCTGGCGCAGAAAACAAGGAGAAAAGGAAGGAACCCGGAGCGCGTGAAGGAGTCTCGATGAATCGGTATACCGAATATGCATATCGAGTATCGACAGTTGGCGTTTTCCACTTGAAACCGACGAGAACAAACGCGCCTGCAGCGTTCGGTCATTAAAATCGTAGGAGTAGCGAGAAGCCCGCTGAGAGAGAAGGAGAGAAATGATAGATTGGTATCTCTCCTTGTATTATTTTTAGTCAATTTATCGTATTTTTATGTATTTGACTATATTTATCAAAATATGTTTTGCATCTTATGTTTTGATTATATTTATCAAAAAATATGTTTTGCATCTTATGTTTTGACTATATTTATCAAAATCATTCAAAATCATTTCCTGCAAATAATGATAAGAATATTCACAATAATATATTTATATTATATATTATATTATAACTTATATTATATAATATATTATATTGTAACTTATGTTAATTACTTTTGCGCTAATTATAAACTGAAACGCAAAGTTTTAACATGCATGTCAAGTTTGCTAGATATCAAATACTTCGCGATGCTGTACAACGATATTACTTTCTAAAACGTAATTACAAATGACATGCATTATTATGACGGATAAACTGTAAATAGGTATCGACTCAATTATCGGCATCCGTTCCGAGCTATTAATTTTAACGCTCTTCTTCACTGACAAGAGATCATTCTCGTCGGGCATTCGAGCGGTGTTCTCTCATTTTATAGTCCTGGACGGTCAAATTGGGTGCACGACAGATCGATATCGGTTTAATACATTCGGACCTATCGCTCCTCGAATCCCCGCGGCTCCAAATACGATAATTCGATCCGAGCCTCTTTCACGCGAGGCTGAGCGGGGCCCACACGTCGTGACATTACAATGAGACCTCCTCCTGTTTGGTGGGCTTTCGCTTTACTTTGGCAACTAGTCATCGTGGAACGAGAACGCTTTGCAAAAAACGACTTGTTGACACCATTCAAAGAAGCTATAAAATGCTTCTTCAAGGGTCATGGATTTTTTAAATCTTTCAATTTAAAATAACTTTATATTTAGATTTCTTCCTCAATATGACACGTATATGTATAAGTTATACATAAGAAATACATAAATATATACTTGATTCATTATTGCACTAACAATATGTCAATATGAAATATAAATAGATTTATTTATAAGATAGATTTATAGATTTTTATTTATAATTGTTATTAATTTTAATTTTCTATTCGAGATACATACATTATGATATTTTCTATTTCATAAAACAAGACAACTAATTTAATCAAAAGATCAAAAAACGGCATCATTTTTCAATTATCATGCACTGAGAACAAAAATTTAAACTAAACTAAATAAACTTGATTAAATATTTTCAACTAATTATTATTTTTTTTATTGAAATACTTAAGTATTTAAATGAAATATGACATATTAAATCTAACATGACATCTATTTAATTTAAATATTTAAATATTGTAATTGAAAAAATTATAATTAGTTGAAAATAAATATTTAGTCAAGTTATAATTTTTATTATAATTTGATTATAATTTTCTTTTCAGTGCACTATTTGAATTGTTCGATATTATTTTTAATTTATATTTCCAATTAATTGCCAGTTAATTTCATTCATTTTTTCAATCATGAAGATGGTCCTTAGAATAGTAAATAATATAAATTTTTTTTTATAAAATATTCATAAAATATTTTTCTTTTCAGTCAAGAATGACCCAACCCGTTTTCTTGGGGAGGGCGTATCGTTCAAGGCGAAACTGATCGGTATTCTGGAGGTATCGGAAGCACGCGGTGACCGGATGTGCCAGGCGGCCTTAGCTGACCTGAAGATGGCGATTCGCGCCGCCGGTGAACACAAGCAACGAATCGCCGTCCAGGTCAGCATAGACGGGCTTCGTTTGAGGGACGAAAAGACGGGGGTGAGTTTATCGGCGAAATTATTCACGTAGTTGATATACTGGATGTCGAATATAATTTATGATTATATTCTTGTCTTTCGCAGGACTGTCTGTATCATCATCCGGTGCATAAAATATCATTTATTGCTCAAGACATGAGTGACTCGAGAGCCTTTGGTTATATTTTCGGCTCACCAGATACCGGACATCGGTTCTTCGGCATCAAGACTGATAAAGCGGCAAGCCAGGTAAATCCCATCTTTGCATCTTTGCATCCAAGTAATTGTCTTATCTACATTATATGCAACAAAAATATATTTGTTCCAGTCTCTAATATAATGCAAAGATGCATAAAATATAGAATGACTATTATTCTTTTTTTTCTTGGAACAAATCTTATCTACCTCTGAACACACATACTCGTCGGTTTTAAAGGACTGCATCGCATGCACTCTCGGTAAATACGCGAAAATCTAATTCTGCAAGACACAAGGGGCGAAGGGAGGCATCGAATTGATCGATTTCGAACACGCACGAGCGATTACAAGCTCGCGGCCGTGCACGCGCGTTCCTACATCGCCAAACGCGGTTAAAGTGTGTCAATTATCGGGAACGAGTCGTCGCGGCGAGGTAGCCCATCCCCAGCGGGTGAAGTCTAGAATGATATTTGCCCAATCCGAGAAGCAATATCGACCCCGGGCGCGCGACTGTAATCCCGGACGCGTATGTAAATAATTGCATTACGGCGTTCGATTCGACCGACCCCCCCGCATCTCGTCGTGGGAGATTGTTGCCGGATTATCCACGGCTCACTTCGTCCTTCAAAGGGATCGGCGAGCAACTTCTTGATATTCAAATCCACTAGTACATCCCACTTTTGTGCTCAAGTATCGTGCGATTTAAGCGACGCGGTCCTTTGACCGCGTCTCCTTTTTCTGCATCAAAGAAGAGCGAAGATTGCGCGCAATTAATACACATACCTAATATATTTAAATGTAATCAATCAAAAAAACGCCGTGAAAGAATATTGAAGATATATCAAATAATAGAATTTAATTCTAGCGATATTAAGTATGCGCTTTTTAATATACATATAAATGTATCTTTTACACATAAATGATAGTGAGTACATATAGGTATAATGTAAAAAATAATAAAATAATAAAAAAATAAAATAAAATAAAATAAAATAAAATAATAAAATAATTATATAATCGCGTACTATTAATATCTTTCTAAATAATCAGAAATACTTGTCCAAGAGATTTGCATTCGTTGCACAAAAGGTTCTGTTTAGCGTTATAGTGTTATTCACGCAATACATTAGCACGTTCGCAACTTTTAGCAAGACGCGAATATTAAACGCAACGCAGCAAATAGAAGTTTACGACGGATAATTGATCACGTTAAATCGGGGAATATGTTTAACTCTGTTACGGAGCGCGCAGACTTTCGCTCTCGATCGCAGAGAGCACAGTTGTTGGGCCCCAACTCGCGCTCAATTCAATAGTGACGATCATCGCCGCGAAAATGGAATCAGCCTCGCGTGACAGGTGGCAAATTAATTCAACAATCTTACGGCCTTCATTCAATTTCCAAGTTTAATTTCTGCATTCGCTTCCTGTAAACGACCCCGGTAATCTTCGCCCATATATACGGCGGCGATCGCGTTTGACAAGCTGGTTTTAACAGCACAGAAAATCGCGGCAAACAGAGGGGCGAGGGTGAACGATCGGAGCAGGCTTTCGGAAATTATGCGCAGGAAGTGAATAATATTCGTATTTCTCCGATATTTTTCATTCTCGAGGAATAAAAATTATTATTCTTTTTTAATTAATAAAAATTAATTTTCTCTTTTCTATTGAGAATTTTTGAAAGTGCAAATCAATTTTCAATTAAAATACATATAACAATGTATTGTTTTTCTTATATTTTTTTTTATAACAAAACTCATAAAAATATATAAAGATATCTAAAATAGATATTTAAATATAAAAATATAAAACAATAAAATATTGAGATTAAAATAGGTAAAAAAAAACCTAACGAGAAATAAATTTTGTTATCGCTGTTAAACAATGACATCTTTCAAAATTTCGACGAAGATTACTGGAAAAATTAGACAATTCAAATCCTTGAAAAATTAGATAATTTAAATCCTTGAGATTCTTTTTCAGAAGTACTTTCAAAGTAAAAATGTCTCAAAGACATAAATCTATTTTTGAACATATAATGTAGTTTGCGTTCATTTTACGATGTATCGTATACGTGATAAAAATGAAAATTTGTTTAACAGGTGGTGATAGCGATGCGAGACTTGTTCCAAGTAGTGTTTGAGCTGAAGAAGAAAGAGATCGAGTTGGCGAAACAGCATATAGAGCAGAATGCCATTAACGCGATTAAATTCCACACCGGCGGTATTTTCGTTGAGCCAGCGCCCGATACCAAGGTAAGTTCAATGCTTTCATATAATTGCTGTCATCGACTGTCATACTTAAAATTGTTCTCTCAGTCGAGTTTTTTTACTTTATCTAGTCGAGTATTTTTAACTGTTCTTTTACTTTCCATGAAATAGCGCTTTTCATCTGCGAAGATTCGTATTCTTTAAAAAAATATCAATTAGAACCAGCATGAAATCGATACTAAAAATGATATAGATATTGATTGTGGATACAATTAATAGAAGTCAGATGAGTTATAACAATTTGTTGCAGGGAGCAGCAAGCACCGAATCCTCCTTTCATCGAATTCGCACGACCAACTCCGAAGTTGACAAACCCGCCGATCGCAAAAACGAGTCGCAGAGTGGCGTGATTGCAGATTTGCTGGATCTGCAATTTGAATTAAATTCGCTGCAGCAAGGTATTCATCAGATGGACAAAATCACGCCGGAAAATCCCATGCCGTCTACCGACGACCTATTCGAGAGCGATCCTTTCGGTGATTCTTTCGCAAATATGAAGGTATGACTGGTATGCGAATGCCTTTTTCATTTGATAAGATAAAACTGCAGAATAACACAGGCCTGCGAAAAAGGGGTCAAAAATGTTTTTTAAGATGCAATAGTGATTTTTTGACGTAATTTTGTGCGCTGAATCCGAATCTGGCCGCCGAATTTGCGTAGCACGTCAGGTTTTTGAGTTATTTGTAGTTGAATAGCACAAAAATCGCTATTTTGGCTAACTTCATGAATTTATTGTGAGTAAATCAAATTTTTTGAAATATTTCTGTCAATGGCATCGTATAGTACTCATTTTCATCTTTCGAATCCACTTTCGATTACCGCCGTACGATTTTTTTTCGCTCAGATATACAAGTTATAAGATTGGTCATGCATAGGGATCCAATAAGCCATTCTAAATCAACCGTGCCACCTCTCTATCTCTCTACGAATCAAAATTAGAATAAAAATATATATTTTTAAATACCTTCTGACACCTTTTGAAATTAAAAAAGGCGCATCCAATATGGCGAATAGAATCACAATAAAAAAGCATAAAATTTAGAAAAATTTATCAAAATGTGTAACAACTGTATTAGACATTTCTTTACAATACTTTTTTGGCCAACCTGACATATGTCAGTCTTTCCAAATTTCAACATCATGGATCTACCATATTGATGTCTATATAAATTTTCTTTAACGTAAATTTTCTTACAACTTCATACTTATCTCAGCGAAGAAAAATCATACGGCGGTAATCGAAAATGGATTTGAAAGGCGAAAGTGAGTATTACACGATGCCATTGACAGAAATATTTCAAAAAATTTGGTTTACTCACAATAAATTCATGAAATTGCCAAAATAGCGATTTTTGGGCTATTCAACTACAAATAGCTCAAAAACTTGACGTGCTACGCAAATTCGGCGGCCAGATTCGGATTCAGCGCACAAAATTACGTCGGAAATCACTATTGTATCTTAAAAAAAATCCTCGCAGGCCTGTGTAATCATTATATGGAAAAGATACATGTAGCATAATCTAATGTATTAAAAGCGAAGTTAGTCGTTATTATTAGAATAATATTGATAAGAAAATTTTTGATAATATTCAATTCTAATTATATTTTCTCGCAGCTTCAAGACACGGTTCGTCCGATTTTACCACCTCCACCCTCGTCGACGAAAAGGGGACATTTGGAGCGACAACATACTGTACCGGTGCCGCCTATATCGACTTCTTCTAGTCCGGCAACAACATTAGTTAGTAAAACGCCGCCTCCGGAGAGTTCAATTCATTGGTTCGACAAGGAGACCGAGAATCTTTTCAATGATAGCGAGCTGACAAACCTGAATAAGAATTCGACGAAAAAAGATCAAGGAGAGGACGTAAGTGTAAATTGTCTTTTGTTCTACTTTCGAAAAGTACTTTTGAAAGTGCACACGATGAGTATTTTTTGTATTATAGAGCTCGGCGGAGACTACACCTCGCAATACTCAAACGAAGAGCCCGCAGATCGACGTATTCACGGAGCTGGATCCTTTAGGAACAGGTCTAATTAAGCCTTACGTGGATAAGAAGGACTTCTTTCAACATCTAAAGAATCCGCCGAAGAAAGTTCTCAAGGATCTAGTATCCACAAATTCGAGCGATAGCTTTCCGACGAACTTCACAACCACAGAGTCTCTAGCATCGAAGGCGCAGAGTGAATCGTCGAGAGATAGCGAAAGCAGCAACTTCGCCAACTTCGATCAATTCGACGAGAATGAGGCGAATCAGTCCTCCCAGCAAGTAATCGATTCGCCGCCGAAGAAAGAGACACCTGCAGGATTGATCCATCATCAGCCTCTCTCGGTATCTCTGCCGCCGGAAGAAACGACGTCGTCTAAAGGAACGATCGTGCCTGCGACTGCCTCAGGAAGCTCGATTCTTCGCAGCATGGACAGAGACTCCACGGAATCAACACAGGCGCTGGTGAAGTTACCGAGTCCGAAGAAGTATCTACAATCCGTGCGAAAGAAAGACTTCGATATTGACTTGCCGACCAGCAAGTCTCAGTCCGTAGAATCCAGCAAGTTTCCGGTAGACTTTTCGGTAACGAACGAGTCGCCAGCGTCGCCACTTCGGTCTTGCTCGTCGGACGCGAACTCGCGTTTGTCTAGTTCAAGCGCGGAGCTGGATTTGGTGCCTGAACCGCCACCCAGGGGTGCGGGTAGCATTCTTATCAATCCACCGCCGTTACCGCCAAAGAAGCAGAGCATTCGTGGAGGCGCGAGACCACCGCCTAGACCGCCTCATACAGATGGACATTTTCAGTATGATTTTCCGCAGCGCGAGGCTTCCTCGCCATCTCCTACCAGAATTCTCAGAGACAAGAACAAGAGTCCGCCGAGGGACGTGAAAGATCATCAGTTTGACGACAACTTTAGTCCGCCTCCGCAGATGCCTGCCAGATCGGATTTTATGGCTACGACGACTACCACCTCCGCTTTCGAGGACTCTTTCAGCACGATGATACCATCTACAACGTCGCTGCCGTCTACGTCATTTACTAGCAGTATCACTGGTTCGGTTATGGATTCCAAAAAGACAAAACCATCGCTCGATATCACGCTTAGCCAGTTGACATCATCCTGGACGAATTTGGACGAGCTGGCCTCTAGCCTCGGCATGACAGTTCAACAGCTGACAAGTTTGACCTTGACGCAACTCACACAATGCCTAGCAAGTCTGTCGACCAAGGAAACTGTTATCGACGATGTAGAGGAAACTGTGAGTCCGTCAATGGCGACGAAAGAGCAACCGGTAGTTCCGTCTAAGCCTGTGCTTTCATCTTTGTCATCGCTGACGTCGAAATCACTTGAGACGACGAGCCCAAGTTCAACTTCTTTCACAAGTTCGGAAGTCTTGAAATCTAATTATGAATCGGAACCGAAGCAAGATCCTACGTACGATAAATACGCGGTTTTCAGAGAACTGCTGGAAATGGAGCAGATAGAACGAAAGGAGGAAACAAATGTGGAAGAGATTGCCGACGTGGAAGAAGCATCCAACGAAAACGTTGAACAAGTTGATGAGGAGAAAATCCAACCGGAAATGCGGACCACTGAAATCACTTCAGATTCATTAACGAGTTTAACTGTCAAATTATCAACGAAAAATGAGAATCTCTTGAAGGAAGAGCCCACAGCGAAATTGAATGAGACGATGATTAACTCCCTCGCCAGTCTAACGGAGCAAAAAGAAAAGTTAGAAAACGAAGATAAAAATATCGAGAAGGAAAACGAGGTAATAGCGGATGCGGATATAACGTCCGATTCATCCACGGTTCAACAGACGGAAATAGATGCCGAGGACGACACGGAGAAGACTCAAACTATCATGGAGGAAAAAATGGATAATTCAGAGAAAGGAAGCGATGCCAATGGCACCCTGTCTGATAAAGTTGGCTCGGACATCCTCAATGAAGAGACGAACGGTTCCGTTGCCGAAAGATCCTCGACGGAAGTAAAGTCTTCGACATCGACGTCGAGCGACAGATACGCTGCTTTGCGTGAGATTATCGGTGAACCAGAACCATCACCGATCAGAAAGAACGACGAAGAAATGAGTTCCGCCAGAACGTCACCGGTGATACAGTCTCAGCAGCCGAAGAGTCTAGCCGAGATAGAGCTGCTAAATCTATTCTCCGATAATCTCCCACCGCCGTCGAGCCCGAATATCTCGGCCAAGAAGGATTCGGTCGACCTGAAAGCCGTGGCCATGGATATCTTCGAGGAAATAAAGATGCTGAACACTGACATGCATCGCGCCAAGGATATCAAGCCGACGCCACCTTTGACTTCAGGCTTCGAGGATATGTTTTGCCCGTTCTCGGAGACGACACGATCGGAAAAGGATGACGGCAAAGAGGATGGCAATTGGGCCAAGTTCGACACAGGTGTCTTCGGTTCGTCTGACAGATCGTTGTGCGAGGGGCAACGATCGATAGGCGGCACTTCGCCGTGGTCACCAGATGGCAAGGACTTCCACAAGGAGGTCCCGTTCAAAGGTAGCGGCGGATATCGGCACTCAGGGGACAGCGATAACGAGTGGAAAGACGAGGAGGAGAGCGAGGAAAGCAATGGCAGAGGGCGTGGGGAGAGCAGATTCTGGTCCGGTTCGCGACATCCGAGGTTTGACGCACCGGGCTTCGAAGATAGATCGTTTTACGAGGAGAGCGGAGAAAAGCGAGACCGCAGCTTTCGCGAGAGGATGGGCAGAAAGTCGCGCGGAGCACCCTGGACCAAAAGTAGCGGCAGTCACCGTCCGCGCGATCCATCGCCTTGGCACGAGGAGAGTCAATGGGACGACGAAGGCCCAAGACGGTATCCACATCGGAAGGTGCAGCCCTACAAGGACGACGAGGATCAATACGAGGCGCACTGGAAATGTCGGCCCAAGCCACCGCCGCAGCGATGTAACTGGAGCCACGATGTTCACGGTTCGTATTACGACGACGAGCGCAAGCGGAAGCTGATGCTGTGGAACGAGGAGGATCGATTTGGCAGCCAGGAGAGCATGGGCTACGACGAGGAGGATCGCTGGAGCAGAAGAAGATACGAGAGAAGACGCTGGGAGGAAGACGGTAGATTCTGGAGCAGAAGAGGGCCTCCCGACGCCGATTATCCTATGAGAGAGGCATATTATTACTATCGCGAGAGCAGAGAAAGACCTCACGATTACCCGTCCTGGGACGAGGAGTACGCTTCCGAACGTCCAGGTGATGACTCACCCAGGTACAATCCAGCTGGCAGAAAGAGACACTGGCCGAAGAGGCCCAACAGCGCAAACGACGGCCGCAACAGCGACATGCTATACCTGGATTCGCGTAAATTTGGCGGCGCCTCTAGATCCGAGTGCAGCGACAACGATTCCGATCCGTACCTACGACCCTCCCAGCGATCCAGGAGTCGCGAGAGCTACTGGGGTAGCGATCAAGAGTACGATAGTTGGGTGGAGCGACCCTATTGGTCCGAGGGCCCCGACTCAAAGAGCGAAACGATGCATCGCAAGCGGATAGCCAGGCACAAGACGCGGCAGACTCAGAAGACCCAGAGCCCGTTCGAGGACGATTTCGCGCAGAGCGTTGAACACGCGGAGCCTTCCACCGCTGGTCCAGGTGTGGCTGAACCATTGGCACCGATGGACGCGCGCGTACGATTGGAGATGACCGAACCGAAACGAGAACCGCCGCCACCTGTGAGTCCTTCTGGCGTCAGAGGCTCCAAGGATCCTCCGAGACGGGATGTAAGCGGCCGACCGACCGAATACGGCAAACGGTCGAGCTATTTCGAAGACGATCTCACGCCCACGGCCAGCGCGTCCAGCGACGCCTCCGACCGGCCGAGATTGTCGTCCGATTTCAAGGCCACGCCGGAGGAGCTGCCGTGTGACACCAGCAAGGATCCGCAGCAACCCGTCGACGGTTTCGTTTCGGAAGACAGCGGTCGCGATTCCTTCTTCAACGGCGATCTGAGATTCGACGACGACGCCTTCGTCTTTAAATCCGAGCTGGATGACAACGTGCCGGATCATCGCGCGACTACATTGCCGCTGAAGAATTCCAGGCAGGGGAAGTACGGGCCGGGGAATAACAACAATAATAATAAGGCCAGGGGTGATCAGTACATACGGAAATCGGAGTCGGTGAATATCTTTGCGAGGGAAAGCGATCCATTCGACGGCGATGATTTCTTCAACTGATCGAATTGTCGAAATGTGACCAACGACAAGAGCAACGGTCGCTAAAATTCTGCACTGAATTCAACGACATCGGTGCGGACTAGATAATTGAAACTTGAATGTGTGCGTTAGGTGCGTGTGTAAGAAAGAATGAAAGGGAGAAAGAGGGACTGCGTGAGACGGTGTTCGTCGCGTATCGGGAAAACGTCGACGTGAAAAATGGATTCATCGCTATACTTGATTCTTGTCAAAAGCTGTAGCAGTTTTAACGTAGCGAAATTGAGGAGAAAGCTTCGAACGGATGTGCGGAATATATCGTTGTCTATTACGGTTTTTCGTTATGCTTGCTTTGTATTGTGAGATTCTTTCGAAAAATTTATTTTCTCTTCCATTGAGATTGATGGAATTGATTAATCATTGTAACATCTTGTATATTTTATCCTCGATTAATTTCAAACATTTGTGTCCACATTTCTTAGCGCGAATAAATTTATTTCATCATAAAGAAAGGAATACGCTTGAAAATCGATAACTAATCTTATGTTCGAAATTTCTAATAACGGAATACAATCATTCCATAAAGAAACTAGTCACTATTTTAACGAATCTGTACATAATACTATTGATGTGTTTAGAATCGATTTACGGAGAGTGTGAGAAAAAGAGAGATATCAATATGTGATTGAATACAATTGTGTATTGCGTAATCACGTAAATCAATAATTGTTAATATCGTATTATATATATTTATTTATATATTTAATTTATGTATATTTATTATGAAACGACTCGATGACTTTTGTCGTTTCGCAAAAAAAAAAAAAAAAAAAAATGTGAGCGGTTTAATTTCAATTGTCCTGTTGAACGAACAATTCTCTAGTCATGTGTGCGTAACCGTTGCGTTGGGAGCTTCGCAAAAGAACAAATAACCGATAGCGCGCGTTTTTGGGGAGAAATCAAAACATGATTTTTATACATTTTTAACTAGCACGGGGATCGATTACGTTGCATTAGGCGTTCGTACGACGACGACACGTATCCTTCTGTGCATGCTCCCATCGATTCGCTTTTCGGTTACGCGATCGATAAAAATTGCTCTTATTCGTGAGAGACAGCAAAGAATGGATAATTATGTTTGCAAAGACAGTTATTATTTATATTCATGCTTTTAGTGTCTGACATGTATGAACAAATTTATATATATTATTTTATGTACATGTAAGATCAGGTTGGTAAGAAAAGCTTCTTTATGAAAAATATTAAATAAATTTATTTCATTTTCTAACATTGCTTTATTATAGATATAATGCGTTGAGAGGATAATGTAATTTTGAACTAGTCTTTTATAAGATAATAAAATTGAGTTTTAAAATAATGGCTTTATAAAGAGATACAACTTTTAAATTTTAATAATAATGATTCAACATGGACGTATAATATTATCTAACTTTTTTTTTATTTCAAAAGATTATTTTTTTACTTAATTCTATTCTTCTTATATTTAATATTTGTTAAATTATAATAATAAAATTGCCTTCCAAACAAAAATAATTTAAATTTTTTATTTTAAAGTTATTAATAATGTATACAAATCTGGATATATCTTTTCTGATCAATCTTGTCTTACATATGCCATTTGCCAAGATTTAATGCTAATAATCTCTGCTTGCATGATTATGTTGATGAATATTTTGCGCTAATCACCGAATTATATAGCCGAATTATAGATCACGCCGACATTTTCCACTGTATGTATTTATGTAATAATAGTAGTAAATTATTTATCACCGTTTAATGATCACTCGGACACTGTATTGCGAGTATGCATCAGAATGATAACGACAATATCGCTTCAATGGCAATTCAATTCCTTGTCCCTCCCTCAAAAAATTTATTAATATTAATGATCAATTCTACACATATATAATTATGCAAATCCACCTCGCTGGTTTTACAAAACTTCTTAAGAGATTTGTACAGATACTTTTACGCAAAAATTGGAAAAATCAAAGTGGCGGAAAAAAATTGGCAAATGTATAAAATAAAGTATCAATAATACGTATCTTTTTAGCACTCAATAATAATTATAATAACAACAATAATTTAAAGATTTTAAAATTTTTTAAAATTAAATATACTTTCGACAGTTTCTCTATCGAGATTTGCTCTCCGCAAACAATGCTTTTAAATGCATATATACGTATTTCAAGCTTAAAATTGCACTAGTCTTGTTAAATTACACTACTATAGAAATATTTGCTTTTCGAAAAGTAAATATCTTCTAAAGGGATAAGATCAATATACATATATATATTATTTTTACAACCAGAGAGAGAGGAAAATCGAGATCGAGTATATAGCTTTCTTTCAATTGATCCAAGTATACAGTAAAGATATATAATAAACTTTGGCGAAATTAGTTACCCTGGAAATTCTCGTTTGATTAGCGATAGATTTCAATTGGATTTAATTGATAACTGATAAAAACTGATAAACAAGATAAAACACTGTAAGTATAATTACGACTTTAATTTGTAATAATAAAATGATTCTTTAATTTTGTACAATTTGGTTTGCATTAAAATAAAAAAAAAATGTTTCGATACTATATTGTACTAGACTGCTAGTTAAAATTTAATGAAGTTTAGAAAAAAGTGACTAATATAAGAATCAAATTTATTTAATTGATGAAGATGAATTTCGTTAAAAGAAAAGTTAAATTTTACAAAAGTGAAGAGAGATCTCTCTCACCGAATATATAGCCTACAATTGTCATTATTAATTTGTTACTCCATTATTGTGGCAGTATTTTGCCAAAATATTTTTTCGAAAGGGAAGAGCTTCAACGAGGCTCTCTTCGGGTTTAACAAAAGCAAAGCGAAACGTATAATAGAGGCGCCAATCGTCGAGGTGACGTCGACATCGTCATCGACATTCTCAGATCGCACAATCAAAGTCGGCACATCCCTCGGGCTCGCGTGTGTGCGCGCCTCTCCATTTCTTGATTCGGCCGCGCACAATGCACAATAAAAGAGCATTAGATCGCCGGCTTTGTCGAAAGAGAGCGGCTGCACGACTTCTCTCGCAACAATGGCGTGGCCTCCACTCGGCGGCGGTGCTCGAAACACCTGGCAAACAAGGAAACAATGCGCCGCACGAGCTGCACTTCGACGGGATTTCGCGCATTTGGGGGTGCGCACACGCTAACAAATTATCACCCTCCCACCCTCCATCCCTCCAGACCCCATGTCCCGTGTCTGTCGTCCTTCTCGCGTCTCGTCCATCTTTTTCCCGCTTTCGTTTCATGCTCTATCGTGAGTTTCGCGATTAAGAGGGGCGCGCGTGATGCTTCATGAAAATTTTTAGAGCATTTTATAGCTACGGAAATCGCCACGCTGTATATCTAGAGTCTTATTTCTCGTGGTACGTACAGGAAATTATCAAACGTCATAAAGAATTTCATAAATTATATGTAGAGAAATAAATAAGGGAATATAACATTCAAAGATAAATATATTTTCTTAAACATAAACATATATTTAAAAATCTAGATCTCAAACTTGTATAGAAAATATTGTTAGGTTCACGAAATAAAATATATTTAGAAAATAATTGTATTATCTAGCGTAGACGTGGACCAAGCACCAGATCGCTATGTCTGTTGCGCGGGAGGTGACGCAAAGGGGAATGGAAAGCTATACAGGAGAGAACAGAGGGTCAGGAAGAGAAAATCAACCCGCATATACTCGTACGCACTCGAAAACGAAAAGTACTTTTAGTGAGAGTCGGGCGCGCGGAAGCGGGAACTATAAAATGCACCGAGAGCGACGAAGGGCGGTGTGCCCTCCTCGGGCAAATGCAACTCTGAAAAGCCACGAGAAATGTTTGTAATTGGGATCGTTGGCCCGTGGTGCTCTCGCGGCGCTTAATAGAGGGAAGAAAGAGAGTAAGAGAGAGCGAAAAAAGCGAAGAAAGAGCGCGTGCCCCTCCTTTTTACTCGAATACGTCCGTGAACGTTTTTACGATTCGCATTGGCGTTTTATTTCGTCAAGAACATGATACGTTCGACTCTACAACTCTCTGTAACTCGTAACGTAAGATATTGTATAATTTCAAAAAATCTATTTCTTAAGCAAAATTCATTAAAAATATAATTGTGCTTCTAAATAATTATTTCACAATCTTGTAAAAAGAATAAGAAAGTAAATATATTTTTTCTTTATATATAATCATTAATTCAAAAGAGCGCTAAAATTCTATTGCAAATTTGCGCATTTAACAATATTTTCAAATATAAAAATTTTCATTACTTTCATATATTATATTTTTACATTTATGTCGCGATATGATTTCCTCTTCTTCGACGTATGCGGTAATAAAGTGTCTCCTTACGAAAGAACGATCACGGATAATTCGTCCGTCGAGTATTTCCCACTTAATGACGACGACATCGTTAGCGTCGTTGGCGCGTTAACCTGTGTCCATCAATATTTCATAAGTCTCGAGTAAAAGTGTCGAGTGTTTACCGCGTCCTAAGCAACTAAGCGAATCCTCGATCTCGTTCGCCGGTTAGCCGTAAGTGTGTCCCCCGCCGACATGCATTTGCATTGAATTGAATTTCAGATTCGATCGCACGGCTTCATCGCATCGGGCCCCTCCGGCCCCCCTCCGTGTCTTTCTTCAATCTGCGCGAAATCAAATGAGACAATATACAGGGTGAACCACGTAATTTAACCACCCCTATCATTTACTGTCGTTGGTAGAGTGATCCATTTGTCTTGAGTAATTTAATTTAAAATTGATTTACAAGATGATTCTTTTCGTCGGTCGCTTTTTTTTTTTAATTTCCGACTTTTTTAAAAACTGAGAGAATATAATATATAAAATTAAATCTGTATATTCTCACTGATGCATAATTAATTTTAAAATTGCTATTATCTAAAAGAAAAACGATTGAATCTTCATTTCTGTTTTACTTTTATTGTGATAAAATAATTTTGCGTGTAATCTAATATTGTGGAACTGAATGTATCAAAATTTGAATTTTGTTTATTTTTATCTCTTATCAACAGTTATTATCCATTCACGAATATATAATTCGCAATATATTATATACGCGAACTCGATTGTGATAAGGCAAATTTCTCGGTTTACTATCTTTGAATCGCACAGGTAAATGGCTGTCCTTTCTCGACGCGATGTGGCAGAAGGGGCGGAATGAAAGCGGAGGACATCTCCGGAAGACCGATGGCAGAAGTAGCGAAGTCGGAGAGTCTGGGGACGGGGGTGGAAACGGGGGCAGAAAGGGAAGGACAGAGAAAAGGACAAGACGACGTTCTCGAGTGAGGAAGGAGTAGGGTTTTTCTCGACGCAAAGCGAGAAAACGGCGTCTTGAGAAAGGTGCAAAGCCGACAGTATTCTTTGTAGCGGGGGATATTCGCCTTGTGCGCCGCCAAGACCTCTCTTCGCACTTCTTTACCCTTTCCAAGCGCCGCTTCCGTCCCGCTCGCCGCGACACTTTCGACTTCCTTGCACAGGCGCCTCCTTCATCCTCGACCATCGCCACTTCGTATAAAGTCACAACTACTACCACCACCACCACATTGTTGGCCGGTTAGTAGTAACGACGGCTTACTTCCCCGCCCATGCCGGGTCCCTCGCTCGACTGGAGCTTCTCTTTCGGCGCGGGATATTTACCAACATCCAAGATGGCGGCATAATCTTGCCTGGCTTTTTGCGGAGAGGGCCGACGACAATGATGACGACGACGACGACGAGTTAGTAGTAGCGGCGCGGTTCCTTTCCGCCAGTAAACACTCGCCCTTTCTCCCGTTGCCGCGCACTCTTCGCGGTTCTTACCGTCTTCATCCTCCCGACTGCTCTTTTTCTTCTTCTTTAAACCCTTTGTGAGCTTTGTACCGCACGTACTTGGGTCACCGCGGAGCGGAGCTTTCTATTTTTTGACGTTGACTACGACACGCTGCATCGCTCCCTCGCGAGATTGAGGATTTTAGGTCGCATAATGCTACGTAGATGACAGAATGCGACAACAGTTTCTTAATCCGGAGTATCCTTTTTGCACGCGCGAATATTTTCAAGATTTTATATATTTGACAAGAGATATTTTTAAATTATTATTTCAAAAAGCGACGCAATGTAAAGTCATTCTATATAAATCTCTCTTTTTGTATTTTTTTTCTCGTAAAAAATTTGATCCTTTAAATCCAATTATATTCGGATACTTAAATGATTAATGATAATATATGTATTTCATATAACGTAATTATTCCATCAATTTTCAACCAATTGAAATATTGGCCAAATCAAATTAGATTCGAATTTGGCACAAACTCACTTTGCCGTTTGTAGCTTCGTAGTTGCTGGTATAAATTTGACATCCCCGACCGCGCGGTTCGCCCTGGAATTTCCGGAAGATTTGGTCCGAGAAGACTGGCGCGAAGGGTAGGGAGGGGAGGGGGGGGAAGAAATCAGGAGGTAAATACGAGCGGCGAGAGTCCAGAGAGAGGTAAGAAGCAATCGAATCGAATGGTGGAACTCTCGGAATCCGCAATCCTCCACCGAGTGAATGGCGAACCTCTAAGAGTTTCGTGGAGCGGGGTTTCACTCCGCGCGTTTCCCTTCCCTCTTTATTCTCGTCGTCGGTCTTAACCTAACCAGAACTCGAGATTAAGACGCGGTAATCGCTGAATCGGCAAGGGAGATTGCAAAGCGGAACACTCTTCCACGATATTTTGCTGCGAGAAAAATCCCGATAAGAAGAGATTGCGCGAAAATATTTTTATTGAGTCGCCACGTCGACGAATCTTTTTCTTTTTGTCTAACAGAATGCAATTATTATTTCTACCTGTGAATATCAATGACCGATGTGTTATTATAGGATAACTAAAAATAAATTAAAAAAAATAAAAATCATGTTTGGAAGAGTTACATAATAATTTAGATTTCATCGAAACATTTTTTTTTATACAAAAGGGATATTTATCTATTTTTAGATAAGCCCTTTGATCAATTTTGAGTGAAATTTCTTTACGTCGAAATGTTATTTCTCAGATTATAAGAGATAAGGAGCTTACAAGTGCAAACAAATAGATACGACAGATATGGGATACGTAAGGCATCGAACAATAATCATTATGGCGCCTCATGGGTCGTGAGAGTTCAGAGATAGAACGGCACACAATGCAACGACGCGGCATTAACATTAACGCGAGCGATATTGAAATCCGGAGAGCGAAGAGCGTTACAACACAAAGAAGCGGAAGCACAGTTGAGCGGGGGAGTGACTGCAGTTGGCGAAGAGTTTTACCCCGCGCGCGTACGTGGAGTAAGTGCAATAATACCAGATTATTTGCACCGCAAAGCCATGCGTACGGGTAAACACAATATTCGCTCTCGGCTCGGCTCTGTGAACCGATAGTGCGCCCAGGTAGACTCGCATCCGGATCCTATATCGCGGTTCCACTCCCTATCTCTCTCTCTATCTCTCCGTCTCTCTTGCTCTCCCATTCTCTTCTCACCGGCTTCTCACTTCCTCTCACTTGTACACCAGGCGTCATAAATGTCACATTTACTCTGGATACATTTTTCAGAAATATTTTTCGAAGAAACGCATCGGCTCTAGATATTTTTTCATTCCTTCATGCAAATTATATTATTGAAAAATAAAAAGGTAAGAAATATATTCAGTATTGTTTTTGTGCATATTTTCATAATAGATTTACTAACACATTTCCCAACAAGTCTTCCAACAAGTTTACATAATAGATTTCACAATAAGTTATAATTGATCAATAATTATCAAGATAAATTTAATTTCGTGTTGAGATAAGTTGTATCGGATTGCTTAAAATTGAATTAAGTTCAATGATTTTATTAACGATTTAGATTATTTGATATAAGATCACATAGCTATCTTCTTTCTTCTATATAAGATGTGTAAATTATATAAAATACATTTAAATTAACATTAACTATATTAAAAGTTAATTATATATACGTATATAATTTTTAATATAGACAATTATTGTAGATTGTTACGATTTGTGTGTTTGTGGTAGATCTAAAATCAAAGTATTTATGAATCCCAGTGTACATCCGCGTCTCTCACTCCTAACAACCCTTTCTCTCTCTCTCCCCCCCTTCTCTCTCTCTCTCTCTCTATGTACCGCTCTGGCGTAATACAGATTCTATTTGAGCTGCCTCAGGGAAGTTAACTTGTGATGCGTGCAGCTCGTCTCGCTCTGTTGGCGATTCTACGGATCTAGTCGTTGGTTGATTGCAACACTTCTACGATGAAAATGCGACGCGTTAATTTAACATGGTTATTTCCTTAACCCTTACGCTACATATCTTGTGTCAAATTACTTTCTTCAGGAATTTTCAAACCAAATAAAAAATGCGTCGTTGCAAAAATGGAACTCGAGGCGACAAAAGTTCGGATTTTTAATTACATAATTTTTATATAAATTTGAACAAGAATTTTTGTCTCAAAAGTTCAGAACATTTCTTAGAGATAGATTCCTTTCCATAGATTTTTTTCTTATAATAAGTAATCTGAAATTTAACTTGAAAGTATTTCTTTTGAATTGTATTATCTCTCTCTCTCTCAAATAAAGTATCAAAATAAAATTTGTGCAGAACCTATAAAGTCTCATACAGTATTTAATATAAAAGAATATTAATAAATTCAAATAAAATCATCATTATTGTTATTACTGGTCAAATATGGACCACCTTCTAACGTTTTATGAAATATGTACGTTGACAGAGTAAAAAATAAAAAAAAATATGAGAATTAGGAAAATTAAATTAAATAAATATACATGACGAGATATTAAATTCCAGATGTTAAATTAAATTAAACGTTAAATTAAATTAAACATAATTGCGGGAGGAAAAATTAATGCTGCAATTTTAATGCGCCGTTTGCAAAAAGCTCGCGCTAGAAAATTAGTGTCCGCGGCGAGAAAGCAATCGCTCTCGACGAAGACCTCGCTCGCGTCGACCGTTCGTAGATCAGCGGAGCTGGCGCTCCATCTTCATCGCGCCGCTCAAAGCAAATCAGCCTTCGGAGTGTTACAATTTTGTTCTCCCGCCCTCTTCAACCCCCACTTTGAAAGTCCCTTTAACTATCCCGCTATTTTCCTAACTCTCGTCCTAACCCCCTCCGGGGGCTTTCTCTCCCCGTCACCACGTCACTCCTCCACCCCTGTACTCCTCGCAGGGTGGAAACACGTCGGCCGAGCAGCGAAGTGGGGTGATTTCGTCTGACGGAGTGCGTGCCAGGGTAGGGGTTGAAACGCCCGCCCATTGGTCCGCCCACGCAGGACCAAAGCGGCCGCTTCAAATCAATTCGAGCCTCGATTTCACCCCGTAGACGATTCTACGCTCGCGATCGTGCACCCTTCGTCATCCGCGAGCTGACGTCCGATTCCGGCTCGATTTTAACCTCAAAAGAAGCGCGTCAACGTCCGAAGGAGCTTACAATGCTTCCTGAAAACGTCGCGAACGATTTCGCGCGTGAGCCCTTCATGTACTCTTGACTCAAGTTCCGGAAGGCGATTCAATTTCAATCGAGATCATCAGATTAATAAAGAAAAAGGGTCGATCAGTCTCGTGATTGCGAAATTATTTTATAGCGAGTGACCTGGTGAAAAGGATTCGATTAATGAAGTTCGTTCGGTTAAACGCTGGCGAAAGGTGCACACTATGGAACGTATTCTTGTAGACGGATCGCGAGAGACATTCTTGTCGAATGCCCGACGTGTGAGTTGCAGTTTGAGGCCGCGAATCGGATAGAAGTAAGACAAAGAAGCAAAGCGAAGCGAAAAAGTTCCGTTATCGTTGTGAAAACAAACTATTAGCCTAAGATAGCACTCGTCAAGCGCAGGATAGAGTGACGAATAGAATGCAACAGTCTGAAATATATCGCAACAGAAGTCGCTTGCGTGTTTTTCCGACAGACGGTCCGCGGAAAAACTGCAAGAAGTGCACTACATGAAGATACAATCGTAGCTTTCTATTGGTTATATAGTTGATTGCGATGTGGAGCAAGTTTTCTTATATAAGGATCTGACTGAAAGACTAAAGTTTGTACTTTGTGGCTGAAATTTTTCATGGAAATTGCTGCAGAAATTGTAACAATTGTTTGTACCAAAGAAATTTTGTGATTAACAACGTGTGGGACTCTTGTTATATTTCGGCAGTCAAGGTTCTCTTCCGAGAGATTACGTTAGACAAGAATTGCTACAATTATACTATGATTCTTGTTGAAAGAGGACGCGTTGTAAGTGAAACATTTCATATATCAGACCTGGTATAATTAGCCTGAAATTTATGATACAACTTTTTTCATAAGCAGAACTTTCCTTAACGAAAAGACTGCTATCAATTGAAACATTTTCAGAGATTCCATGTGACAAAAGTGCTAAATACAGAAAATACCCTGATAAGATTGTCTTCGAAAATCAGGAAAGGATCTCGACTTAGACATTTTATAGAAAAAAGTCACTTCAAAGAACTCTCGTCGGATTGTTTTTGTCGACAAAAATTTGAAAGCTTCCACCAAGAAAATAAGAAAAAAATTTGATATATTTTATACGATAACGATTTGAAGAACGGAGGATGCTAGCGAGAGGCGATCTCAAGGAACCGGTCGCAGGATCGACGACGAAATAGGAGCACGTCCTAACGCTAATGAGGCGGCGATCACGATGGAGCCACGTGCGATGATGATGTCGAACCTGTCATGCGACGGCTGCGCGGATAGCGACCGGGACTCGGACAGCAGCAGCATGATCGTGGACCCGGTGAGTCTCGACAAGAACGATCTGTCGCCGCCGTCGCAGACGTCATCGAGCCCGGTGATACCGAGCTGCTCGCCGATACCGATGCCGACCTCGGCGCCGTCGAGCGGCAGGAATCGAGGCGGTGGCAGCGGTGGCGGCGGCAGCGGGGGACGTTCCAAGAAGACGTACTCGATGATGTCGGCGTCGAGTCAGTCGGGAAAGTCCAGCTCGGGTCAATCCTCCAGCTACAGCCCCGATAAGATGTCATCGTCCTTGATAAAACCACCCTATTCGTACATCGCTCTGATCACCATGGCGATCCTGCAATCGCCGCAGAAGAAGCTGACGCTGAGCGGCATCTGCGAATTCATCATGTCTCGCTTCCCCTATTATCACGACAAGTTTCCCGCCTGGCAGAACTCCATCAGGCACAACCTGTCGCTCAACGATTGTTTCATCAAGATTCCGCGCGAGCCGGGCAATCCGGGAAAGGGCAACTATTGGACCTTGGACCCGCTGGCGGAGGACATGTTCGACAACGGTAGCTTCCTGAGACGCAGGAAGCGGTACAAGAGGCCGCCCCCGCACTACGTCCTCCGGGATCGCGCGATAATGGCTACCTTCGCCATCTGCGGCGATCGGGGACCTTGTCCCGGTGGCGGTGGCGGTCATCCGAACGCCCTGACTTATCCCGGTGCCGCTTATTTATCGCCGCCACCAGGCTTGCCGCTGCTGGACTTCTCCCCGTCGACCTTGGAGGCGTTGAAGCTCGGCGGTTTCCTGGAACCGCCGCCGCCGCTCTACAAACCCGTTCCCATCACGGCACCGCCGATCAGGCAGATCGATCCGACCCCGGCCAGGATCACGACGCTGCCGGCCAGCCACACGACGAGCGTCGACAAGAAGCGCAACTTCAGCATCGATGCGCTCATCGGTAAACAGGCGGCCAACGACCAGAATTGCGGCGCGCTGTTGGATCTCAGCCCGTCGGAGCATCGAGAGATCAGAAGCCAGGCCTCCGCCTTCTCGCCCCTCGTCTAGGATCCCTAGCGATCCTCTTTCTTCATTGCAAATAGTGACTTTCCTAGCGATGGCGTAATTGAGCGCGGATGCGCTTTAAACATGCGTCCTTAAAAAGAATTGATAACTATCACCGAATGAAAAGTCCGCCTTTTTAATTGTCAACAATTAAAGTCCAAGAGCTTTCTTCCGATTTAGTTTCCGCCCCTCCTTGAAATAAAAAGTCGCACAAGAGAGATGGCATTCTCTCCTCTGGAGAAGACAAGTGATCGGACCGTAAAGTGGACACTGAACCTTATCGCGTTATCGAATAGTGACCATATCGAGATCACATTGGTGAACTGTGCGTCGCTCTCTGATCAGAGACTTAACTTTATCGGAGTATCTTCAAGAGATTCTCAAGAATGACCCCAAAGAATGTAATCGCTCCGCGATGGACAACTCGCTTCAAAAATGATGGTAATCGATATCAACGGATATTTTCTGATCGATGTCCAAAATAAAAGAAACATTTTAATTTTGTGATAGAGTATACGATATATTTGCAATTCCAAAATTATATTTCTCCGAGGTCTTCATTTTTTTAGAATCGAAACACAAGAGAAATCTTATTGATACAAAATCAGCATCTCCATAATATTCTACAAATAATAAGTTTTTCTTCAACTATTGTTTTGTTACATCATAATATATTCTTTTATATTTTTCATTTGATCAGGATTCATATATAGTGGAATACTCGTAATAGTTTCACATCTTACGAAATCTCCAAAAACGAAATATTTGTTCTGCATGTGTTAACCGTTTATTATTACGATAACATGAGTGATTGCAAGCGATAAGTAGGAACGTACGTGAAATTTCAAGCGTTATCTGTGTTATCTACAATTTTAATTTTTTATTCCGTGAGAGAAGAATGTCATACTTCGCGTAATCAAATCAATCCTGACATAAAATTCCAGATGGTCGTTTCTTATCGAGTAATCGAGAAATGCAGAAATTATAGGGAGACGTGAATTGATTTAATGAAGATGTATACCGAGGGATAATGGCGCATCCCGTATATATCGGCGCATCTTTGTAAAAAGGCGTAGTGCAATAGCGTAGCATTTTTGTTTAACATCCCGCGTTCGCTTTTCAAAACGACCGGTGGAAGTAGATAAATTTAAGATCTGAACCCTCTCATCTTTTGATAACAATATAACGCGATAATATAACCCGCGAATGGAATAATTAATACTTGAATTACTTCATTTGTGCGCACACAACTTTCGCGTAATATGATTACAGTCATTATAATCATATTAATTCGTAATAAAACGATACGTAAATTAATTACACAATTAATGTAAATCTCATCCACAAACAGAGAACTCGAACAATAACGTACTTCCACTTGTCGAACAAACGAGCTTTTGCGCGAACAAAGTTCGTTGCGCGAATAAATTGCCCGCGTACCCTCCGATTCCAGTTTCGTTGCCTAGAACTGTCGGTTAGGCGAACTTAGGCCGCTTTTATATGGTCGATTAATATCGGCATTGTAAATACGAGTCCCGAACAAATATATGCGCAGCACTTTGTTGTAGCGCGCGCGCGGGGAGCACCTTTCTTCGGTGGATTTAACGTAAAGCCGCCCGCCCTTCCCATTTTAGCCGTAAGCGGTCAAGTAGACGTTTGGTGTACATACAGAACGAATAGCGCGATCCGTATGTAATTGTGAATATCTATACGGCATTTTACGGTTAAATAAAGTTAAGGCACGTCTCGCGCGATAATAAAGAAAATACCCCCGTTTTAAAAAGGGAATATCTTCGATCATTTTTATCATTTCCGAGATATACATTTTGCGTTGTGATAAAAAAAATATCATGCAATTTACGCATATCCGTATTTTTGAAACTTAAAAAGGAATGAAAGATTATCGAATTTTTTTTTAATCGGGAGAAAATGGTGTGTTTTGGAAAATGTGACTTATGGAAAAAGTTCTCTAACGAAAGTTTGTTTTTAAAATTTTGAGAAAATCGAAATTACGAAGGCGCATGGTTAAATTTTGTTTCATATTAATAAAAACTTAATGAAATTTGAATTTTGTTAAAGTTGGATATTTCACGCATGACTGTCGAAACGTGTAAGATCGATTAGTGTACATTAACCCGATATTTATACTATATATGAAATGATATTATTTGACATTTGTTTAAAAATCACGACGCGAGCGTATGCAAAACTTTTGAAAATTAAAAAAAAAAAACTAATGATACACATGTATAATTTATGTTTGATAACGAAATTGAAAAAAATCTACCCGCAAATTCAGATTATTTTAACGTAAAAATAAGCAGGCCCGCTATCCCTACATTGCTACAACTAGTGTACGCAAAATGTGAAAATCTCGTAACGAGCGAGCTTTTAGCGAATTTTTCCACGGTGATATATTTTACTAACGTCATATATTTTTCAACTTGTTACGAGACATCACTTCGCGGTACATCACTTTGTTCCTAAGATTAAGCAGCGAAGTCAAGATATATGTTTAGTTATAGGCTACACATCCTATCGTTAAAAGAATCGTCTGTAGATCTTAGTAAGTATTGTATGTGTCAAAGTGATAGATTTATAATAATATGTATAATGATAAAAAAAACACAATAAAGTATCGTTAAGTATACGTGCATTTTCCTCAATTTCTCACCCGCTCCTTTTATTTTCCTTCTCTTACTCCTCATTAATGTAAGCTTCCAAATACGACGATATTCCATTCGCGATCAAATGATATAATTATAATTTTAGTTACTTTTACGTAATCGGGACAGAAACAAGGGCTGTATAAATATGCCGGATAAATTTGCCGATCACCCGAGAGAAACGAGCAATTTTCTTCATCGTGCTTCGACGGAAGGGGGAAGGATGTCGCGCGCGCGAGATAAAGCGATAACGGGGAAAGATGCGAGAGAAGTCGACGGAAGCGAGAGAGGGCGTACAAAGCAATATCTTGTTTACCCGCTTCTCTCGGAGCTGGCAATACGAAGCGGAAAAGAGAAGAGGGCGGCGGCGGCGAGGAGAATGAGTGGATTTTCATTGCAGTTTAATCCCTGTCCCCTCCCCCTCCCCCTCGCCCCCCCGCCTCGTTTCCCCCTCGTATATCCGAGTCGACGACGGTATTCTAAATGGCGATACGAAGGCAACTCTTGTCGCTTGGGGTGACGATATTACATTCCTCGATCGTGACGAAGATAACGGGCCGCCGCCGCATCTCGCGTCAATTCGAGCATCGCGCTTAAAACACGTTTCTTCTAATCTCTCCGTTTCTCTTTGCCACCTCCTGCTCGTTCTCTCTCTCTCTTTTTCTCTTTCCCTCCCTCTCTGTGTCTCTCCATTTGTTTTCCTTTTTATTCTTTTCACGCGTCTCCCGCGGGGAGGAAAATTTATGACACCTGATGAGACGCGCAAAAGCAACTATATTATTGTCTTTTACACACGATTCACGCAAGCATCCATACCTTGAATCAAGAATGATGAAATAATTTCGTGTACAGTGCTAATTAAAAACTTGATAAAAAGATTTAATTCAAATGGATATTTGAATTAAGTTAAATTAATTATTTTAATTAAAAACATGATAAAAAAATATGATTCAAATATATATTTGAAATATATAAGTTTTTAATTAGCATTTGACTTGAAATATATACGGGTAATTTTAAGGGAAATATATCTCCTGTCCCCGAAACGATTAGGTTAATTAATTTATCGATTAATTAAACGATTAGCTTAATTAACTGATAAACTCAAGAGCGATAAAATGAATTATCTTTCGTATCTTCGTATTATGCGTGATCGCGCTTTCTCGATATGGAAATAAAATCTGAAACTTTAGATTGATATTACATTTGTTGTATGATAAGACTATCAAACATGTTTGTGCTATTGGATAGACAACTTAGTTGGCAAATCATTGTTCGCAATTTTTTTCACATTGACGTCTTTTATATCTCCGTTATACAACAAGCGTAACATCTGACTCTTTAGAAAAGTAGTTGTGAGTGTGTGTATGTGTAAATTTATTATTAGAGTAGTCTTATGATGGAGATATCAATGTTGCAACTTGCAACATTCATTATGAAATCGTTATATTTACGAGTATTACGTTAGATCGCAAAGATTTACGATTACGTGTACATAAGATTTATACGTGCTCCGAATAACGATGATGCTACAATTTACAAAGGCAACTATTATTGCATTATCTCAAACACATAAGTAAACGTTGTATTGCAATGCAATAAAATAATTACGCATGAGATAAGAGCGCCGAGAAGTCCAGGGTCGAGAAGATAGAAAATTCATAGATACATAGGTGTATCGTAGGTAAACAGTGGCCAATAATTTAACATTGGAAAAGTTTAACGTAGCGCAATTTATCAAACAACAATCTTAAGCGCGTCATTTATAATAGTCACTTCAACGTCACTTTATCGCATATTCGTTGTGTGATCCATGTGATTGCAAAGTAATAAGGCAGAAATTATTTATTATTAATCAATTTCTCACTGTTCTTGCACTGTTAAGATTTAAATTTTAAATCATCAACATTTTTCATTAAAATAAAATTATGTTATCTGTAAAAATTTAATAAACATGAAAATAGAGAGAGAGAGAGAGAACATCTATGTGTATTATTTTAATTAAATTAAATACTATTTTAATATTATAAATAATGACAAAAACTGGATAAGTTTTTTGAAAAAAGAACACTAAATTAATTTCTAGAGATTAACTAATTGAATATATTTGAGAAAGAAAAATAGACAGAGAGAGAGAGAGATTCAATTTTTCGATCAATCAATAAATACTTTTAAGTTTATATTTTTACCTCAGTTCCAGAAATCTTACGAATTGCTTTACGAATATTTCTCTCCACTAACATATCCCTACTTGGATCTGATGATCGCGTAATATAATGTACACGATAAATAGTTGACGAAAAAAAACGAAGAGAGAGAGAGATACAAGCGTGTATCGTTGTCACGATCGTGGTTCTTCGCGCGTGCAACACCCCTTTAATCGTTCGCCAACTGTGTGTGCATTCGGAATGTAATATATCCTGGCGGCCACGTGCCGCTCACGTGCCGCTAAGTGTTTGTTTCGGTTTGCATTGTCACCACGGATACAAGGGCGCACCCGTGCCAAAGGCGTGTGCCGGCCCGTATTCACGGGAAATGGAAAAGAAGGAGGTGGTGGAGAGGGGGTAAGTGAGTCTCATCGCTCCCCCCCCCTCTCTTTCCTTTCATAACTCCTCGCTCGGGGGGTAAATAACGTGCCGGTGGTTGACAATTAGGAACGATGGGAACGAGGTTCATTATGCGAGAAGAGAGAAGACCCTCTGATCCGTCGAGCGTATCCGTGAAACGTGGAAATATTTTCGACCTGGTTGCGCCTGTTTCTCTCTCGATATCAATTGGGGGGGGCTCGACTCGAGTTTTTGCTCAGCTTATTGCGAGTTATTTCATTTTAAAGATTGCCGAGAGGTTTTTAACAACGATCGCGTGCGGAGAGGTAAAGTCACTTTTCGTTGCTCTATTTTAATTAACTGCAAAACAGTAGGATCTGTTAGGTCGATGGTAAACATCTTAGACATATAAGGATGTTGACAGCCTTAGTAGAAGCT